GGCTTGTCTTCTTCAGCAGATGTGGCACCTAGGCCCCTGCTCTTTGGGTCCCTGTGAAGCTGCCTGCGCTGAGCCCACTAGGTGGCCCCATCAATGCTGATTCCAGGAGGTAGAGTATGTAATAGGACAGGAAGACTGCCTGCAGAGGAGAGGAAAGGGAGTTAAAATCTCTCTCTCTCTCTCTCTCTCTCTCTCTCTCTCTCTCTCTCTCTGTGTGTGTGTGTGTGTGTGTGTGTGTGTGTGTGTGTGCGCATGTGTGTGCTTGTTTCAGATGTTTGATCCAGGATGGCCTCGAATTCTGTATAGCTGAGGATGACTTTGAGTTCCTGATTCTCCTCCTTCCACTTACCCAGCACCAGGATTAGGGCCATGATAGGAACATTGTATCAACTGAGCTGTATTCTCAAATCCCCCCACCTCCTTTTGATAGGGTCACACTATATATATGTAACCCAGGCTGGCCTCAAACTTATGGTCCTCCTGCCTCAGCCTCTGAACTTCTGGCTATTACAGATGTGTTCCACATCCAACCACTGGAATCTATAGTTTTAAAGATTTCCCTAGTCAATACTGTAGCAGTCAGCTTTCTGGTCTAAAGTCTTATGGGGTTTCTGTTTGGTTTTTAGGGTGTGTGTGCGTGTGTGTGTTGTACTTTAATGTAGCAATTGATTGCACCCACCTGACCCATACTAATGGCTGTCTAGCTATGAACCCACCGTGGGCCAGGTACTGGTGAACAAGGCAAAGCCCTACCAGGTCTAGGCAGCTCAGAACCCTGCTGGGATGAAGCCACTGGAACACTTACCCTTAAGACCTCATGGGAATCAAGGTCTATACCTGGGCAGGAGCCTAACAGTGGCTTTCCAGCCCATTCCTCTGCATAGGTAAGATGGATGCCTCTGAAATGCCAGCTGTCTCCTTGTCTTCAAATGTCTATTTCTGTCCCTAGTGCTCCTGACTGAGATCCTCCCTCCTGCCTCATTTCTGTTGCTTTCACTGTTGTTTAAAATCACTGCTTGATCTTGCAAGTTCTGTTTATGGAGGTGCTGGCTAGTGGTTCTCGATACTGAGTACCAAGTGCTAGATGCTAAGTTCCAGATGCTGGGTATTGGGTACTAAGTGCTAGGTACCAAGTGCTGGGTACCAAGTACTAGGTACTAGATGCTAGGTACCATATGCTAGATACCAAGTACTAGGTACCAGGGGTTAGGCATAGGAACTCACTAGATGGGTGGGAGAGACAAGAAAGAGAATAAACAGCCCCCATGAGGGCCAGGTCAGGGATGGGCTAGCATGATTAGACTGATAGAATATAATATACATTTAGTCCTTTTAGTTTTTGGTGCAGGGCTGCTAAAATTCTTGCAATTTCCTGAATAATAGGGATAACTGGAGTGTTTTTTTATTCTATTTAGTCTTTGACCCCAGTTCCCAGCACAAAACTCTTATCTCTGCTGGGATTTCCAGATGAAGCACCTTGATTCTTATGAGGTGACTCATTATGGGTTTCTGTGTGGAGGTTGGTTTCAGAGGAAACCAACTCCTGATTGAAGAGCTGTTTGGAAGGCTTGGAACCTTCAGCCTTATTCTTCATTCTCTGTGGAGATGAGAGGACTCAAAATCAAGTTAGGGATTGGTCACAGTTACAGGATGCAGTCTCCACAAGGCTGAACACGCACGGGGCCTGGACACCATCTGTGAGTCAGAATACATCCAGGTGCAGCAGGGGGGCACATCTCAGCTCCAGTGGAGTCAGGCTCCTGTGTGCCCATCTCCCAGGCTTTGGCCTCTGTTCCTCTGTATCCAGCTGCTCATCTGTATTCTTCACCATGTTTTATATTATATAACACACTAGCAAACGCACTTTTCTGAATTCTGGAAACTATCATAGGAAAGTCTCCGATTTAAGAGCAGCGGTAAAGCCTCCCTGTTGTTAGCAAAGCTGGAGAGGAGATGGGCAACCTGAGGGACCACTTCCTACAGTTGGCACCTGACGTGAGGGCATAGTGCTGTGGAATGGAGCCGTTTACCTGTAGCTCTTCCCTAACTCTAGATGGCATCATAACTGACTTGCAAGATATATAGTGGGAGGGGGGGTACAATTGGCAGGAGGATTGGTTGGCATAAACAAAGCCAGCTTTATTTGGTGGCCAGTATTGTGGGGGCAGGAGGAGTGACTAATGGCAGGTAAGTCTTTTCTACACAGGGGTTTCATGGAGAACAGCAAAGATTCTATAACTGGGGCAGTGTTTCAAGGAGGTGACTGGGGTCTCTCTGCTTTCTTATCAGTGAAGAGCAGATGGAACCTGACAGCCCTAGGATAAGCTATTGTGTGAGGTCTTCAGTATACATGTGATTCAGGCCATTCCTGTCTGTCTCATCCATCTTGTGGCATAGGCCTTGCCCATTGACTTAGGTGTGTGGTTGGAAGTTTGGAGGCTTTTGGGAACTGAGCATGGTCAGCAGCAGGAAGTTGGAGAGGTACTCAGTATGGTTGTTCAAAACCCAGAGTTGCAAATATTTGAGGCCTAGGTACAACATTGCTTGTAATCTTCAGTGTGAACTTGCACAATCTACACAGAGCTGTATCCTGGAGGTCAATGTCTTGAGCCCCACTCCACACATGAGGCCTCTGAACTGTGGTTCTGCACTGTGCCTGAATGATTCATATAATAGCAGCATGCTAGTATCTGGGAAGTCTTCCCAGGCTCTCTCTTCTGGTCATTAGTGAGAGGGCGGTTAAAATTGGGACACTATGCCCCTCAGAAGCCTCTTCTGTGACATGCAGAGTTGACAAGTTGGCCTGTGTGGAGAAGTGCAGAATGGTAGATCCAGCTCAGACACAGCCTCAAACAGGTTTTCTTTGCTTCTATGCTCAAATTATTTCGAAATAAGGAGCCAACATTTGAAAACTAGGAAATTTCTTGCCAACATCCAGACTTTTCCTTGTCCTTGAAAAATTGAACAACGTCCCATTCCATGTGACAACAATGATGCCCTGCTTGAGAGCTCTGAGACCCATGGCCCTCATCCCCAGGTCTCTTCTAGTCAAGGATAAAGTTCCAGGAGCTGCGTAAAGCATGTTAAAAAGACATTCGACTTCATTCCTAAAACCAAATGTAGGGACTGGACTAGGGCTATGACTCATTGGGTAAGACTGCATATTCTGCAAGTACAAGGACCGAATTTCCCATATCCAGCACCCAGACCCAGACATTGCTGCATCTGTCTATGTCCCAGAACTGGAGGGAAAGAAACAGGAAGCTCCTGAGAATTTGATGGGCAGCCAGCTTAACGGAAATGGTCAGCTTCCAGTTCAGTGAGAAACAGTGTCTCAAGGCAATAAGGCATAGCGTGATAGAGGAAGACTGCTAACATCCTGCTCTGGCCTCCATGTGCTTACATGAGCACATGCATCAGCAACATTCATATACACACACACACACACACACACACACACACACACACACACACACACAACTGAATCTGTGCCAAATCACCATTTCCTATCCCTCTTCCTAACAAATACAAAAAATGTTTGGCAATATACCACCTTGACAAGGGCATATATACATATTCATATCCGTATCTGTATCAGTATCCGTATCCATATACGTATACATATATATAAAGACCAATTTTTGGCTCCTAGTTTCAGAGGGTTTCAATGCTCTGCAGCTACGCAGACACAACAGAGCTGCTTAGTTCATGGAAGTAGCGACATGTGATTGTCTGTTCACATCATGACAGTGTAACCTTCAGAGGCTGGGCCCTACAGACCTGCTTCTGCTAACCATACCTCACTTCCTAACGTTCCACAGCCTCCTCAAATAGTGCCAGCAGCTGGAGAACAAGGTTTTAAAGCACAGGTCTGTGGGGACATTTCAGATTCAACCCATAACATGTACTATTAAGAAAATAAGTTCATAAAACTTCACTATCAATCAAAGTTTCCAAATATTACCTGCCCCCCTTGACCAAAAAACGTTAGTAGATGGAGCTTATCCCAGAGACTCAGACACATGCAGGAAATGTAATATTTTCTTAAGAGGGGAGGGGTTGTTGTTTGTTTTTGGTTTTTTGAGATAGTGTCACTATGTAACTCTGGCTAGCCTGGGACATATTACAAATACCAGGCTGGCCTTGAACTCACAGAGAGATCTACTTGTCTATCTCCAGAGTACTAGAATTTATGCAATTCTAATGCACACATTTAAGGGCATTGGGGTATTGTTTTTAATAGCTAGAGATTGAACCAACCTGCCTTTCAGTAGGGGACCTCAATCAGGAAACCGGCCAGGACACTAGGCTCTAAGACAGTCATATAATTATGTATTACATGATGAAGAGTTTTTTATGAAGGATGATGACCTTCAAAATATATTAACTGCATTAGATGTGGTGGTGCATGCCTTTAATTCCAGTGCTTGGGGGTCAGAGGCAGGTAGATCTGAGTTCAATATAATGAGTTACAGGCCAGCCAGGACTACACAGTCAGACCCTGTCTCAGAGGTAAAAAAAAAAAAAAAGGTTAACTATAGAAAGGAGGGAACAGAATAGTATACCTACCTGGTGCTGTGTGTGAGGGGAACATCTGCAAGGAGGGACTCCAGGCCTCAGGGACGACCCTCTCACAGGCTGGGGCCTAGGAGTGGAGGCAGAACTTCTCAGGGTCTACATATTTACCTCCTTTGAACTTGGAGCTATGTGATGTGTTACTTGTTCAAAGAACAAAGCTCTAAAGATTCTCAGAGACCTAGATTCTGTTGTTCTCACTCCAGGATTCTAACGTTTTATAACTTGGTGACCTAACTTTTATAGACCCAGCAGGCTCATCTTGCATGAGGCCAAGCATCTGGGCCCTCTCTGGATCTTCCTGACCTATGCTGTGAAGGAACCCTTGTGACATAGGTGACAGCAATGAATGGTTCCCTTCCTGTGTAGCCTGGGGAGACAGCTCTGGGGTCCCTCACTACATCACGTTGTTCTCTGTCCTCCAGGGGAGCCTTCTCCGTGGTGCGCAGGTGTGTGAAGGTGCTGGCTGGCCAGGAGTATGCTGCCAAGATTATCAACACCAAGAAGCTCTCAGCCAGAGGTAAGTTCCTACGCTGTCTACCCACTGCCAGCTTCCCTGATCTGTCATAGTTCTTGCCTTAGACCTGAACCCCAAGCTTGACCCCTGGGAGACAGTGTTGGCAGGCTAAGAGGCTCTTCCTTCTGAGGGTGCAATGAGCATAGTCCCTTCACTTTCCTTCCTTGAGGATTCCAGGCTCAGTGTTACAGCATCACCCAGACAGCTCAAGCCCTCAGTAGTACTCCCTCTCCCCTCTGCCATGCCCTTCATGGCGTGCCTCCCAGCCTCTGCTTTTGCTGTCTCTGCCTGCCTCCTTTTATGAGGGCAGCCATTTTTTTTTCCTTCCAGGTCTCCACTCAGTTATATCCTCAAAGCCGTTTCTTTGCTCTCTCTTCAGTCTCCATTTTTCTCTTCCTGCTGTTTTTTTCTATGTGGCCCATCTCACTCTGTTCACCTCTGTGGCCACGTGTTTAATCCCCAGTTAATGGTGACTGTGAGCCCCAACAGAGCAGACAGGACTCACCCACCGCTCTGTGCTCAGCACCCAAGACAGCGCCCTCACCAGGCCTAGGCTGTCTGTGAACTGTCTGTGGCTCTGTTTCCATCACTGGTTTTTGAATAGGTGCTCTGAGGTATGGCCTGGTTTTGAAAAGGTCTAAGTCTAGCTTGCAGAGGCTTTAGGGACATTGGCTCCTAAATCTTATAATTGATCCTGGCCAGTAGCGGCAGCCTCCCCAGGATATGGTCCCCATTCAGACCTAAAACAGTTAAACTCACCTCTTAATAAGATGCTCAGGGGCACTGGAGTTTGAGAAGTCTGCTCAGAAGACTCCTGGTCATTCCTGCATGTTTAGGGCAGTACTGAGTGACCAAGTCAGTGTATTGGCAAGCTAACATCTACCCCAGATAGAGGCCTTGAAGACTGGTATGAGGAGAATTCTGTTGGGTGAGGTGGTTGCAGAATCAAGGAAAAGAGGTACAATGTTTGACTGTTGAAGGCTGCAACTGTGTTTGGATGAGGGCCCAGCAGGTGCAGAGCTGATGAAGGGCCTGTGAATGCTGACTAGGGTGTTCATGCTGTTCTCTGTGGGCCTCCCCGCAAGACCTAGACTGGCCTGTGGTTGTCCCCTTTTGTCTCCAGCTCTGTTGTCTGGCCAACAATGCTGTCTGTTTATTTTTCTGCATCCTGTACTGAGGAGAGGTTCTGAGGGTCCCCAGCTGGCATAACTAGTGTAAAAAAGACCAAACCTGTGGATGGTCTAGAGTCAGAGCCAGAAGCAAGGAGGCAGACAGGCAGGAAGTCCGACTGGAGTGCTGCCTCCTGTTGGCAAGCCTGGCTGGAGCAGCCTTCTGTTGTTGTACCTTAATTCCTGAGAAGCTAGAGATAAAGCCAGAGCAGTGGTTCTCAGCCTTCCTAACGCTGCGACCCTTTAACACAGTTCTTCATATTGTGGTGACCCCTAACCATAAGATTATATTCGCTGCTACTTTGTAACTAGAACTTTGCTACTGTTATGAGCTGTAGTGTAAATATCTGATACATAGGATATCTGATATGCAACCCCTGTGAAAAGGACACTTGACCCCCCAAAGGGACTGCAACCCACATATTAAGAACCCCTGGGCTAGAGTAATGACAGATCAAGTTTTGTCCTCAAGAGGAGCATTCAGGAAGGAAGATAACAAGGGAGCATCGTGCTGGATTCTGGAGTTCTTGGACTGGCTTACCACCATCAGGGGATATACACTGAGAGACAGAGCCCATCACTCTTTGGGGGATGATGACTAACCATCCCTGAACAGAATCTGGCTGTGTCAGGCAGCCACTACCCAAGACTTTGACCATCTGGGAGGAAAGTAACCCTGCCTAGGAGACTAGGAGGAGGAGATTGGAATCAGGGAACTTTTTGGATGCCTGCTGCAGCCTGCCAGCTCTCTTTCCCAGCAGGGAGGAGAGCAGAGATTCCTTGAGCAGTCTCCTCTTGTCACTCCCCTCCACAGGGGGCTTTACAGCTGTCACATTTGGCAATATTCTCTAAACTTCTCCTGCTGCCACTCTGGGATGACATCCTGCAGCTCTCTGCAGGAGCTGGACCCACTCAGGGCTTCTATCTACCCCTCCCAGCAAGCTGTGGCCTCCCCTAGCACACCCTGCCTGGCCTCTTCTAGAAAGTAGTTCCCAACTTGGGGGAGATATTTTTTATATGCATTTTAAAATTAGTTCTTAAGAACAAAAAAACCCTCCTAGTGTCATTCAAAGAAACCATAAGCAAATAAAATGAAACCATGAAGCAAATAAAGTAAAAAAAAAAATTGCCTATTCATATTCCTGCCAGGCTCCTCTTTCAGTCTTAAAATGTAACTTTCTGAGCTCCACCCTGGAGTTGAATTGTCTCTGTGAGGCTCTATGACAGCCAACCTCCTAGCACAGTAGGTGGCAGCCATGTGCTCTGAGCTGGACCCTGCCAGCTGCTCTGTGAACCTCCTAGGGACTCTGGCCACACTCATGCAGGGACCTTCTCAGTCTCTAGGCTCATGAGCCATCTCTGAGGTTCACTGAGACCCCTAGGAAGGTACATGGGTACCCTCAGGAGGCTTTGAGTCTCATAAGTCTGGCTTCCCCACACTCTCCTGATATGTAGGACATAGGATATGTGACCCCCATGTAAAGGTCCCTTGACTCATAAAGAGGCTGCAACTCACATGTTAAGAACCCCTGGTCTTTGAATTATTTCTCTTATATCCCAGGATGGGAAGGGGACTTTCTTGCCCCCAGTGTCCTCCCTCATTCATCATTCCTCTGTGTTCCCCTGCTTGCAGGAGCCCAACCTCTCTGAGGCAAAGTCTGTGTGCTTGGAAGGCTCTGGCCCTGCCTGTCTCTGCTGGGACTGTCTTGTTCCCAGTACTAAACTCTTCTGCAATTTAGCTTTAATACCCCAAGGATGACCCAACCAGAGTGGGATGAAGGTCTCCACGTTGTCAGCATGGGTATCAAGGGCCATGTTCTCTAGTACCAGGCAGGGTGTGGAGGCTCTGAACTTGCCTGGATGGCTCATCACTGTGGGCTGTGACTGAGTCACGCACGAATTGATTACCAGTGCTGCAATTATTAGCATGAACTGACAAGAAGCTCTGCCACTTGCTTGTGCTAGGAGCTTGGATAAGTCTCTTATCCGCTCCATACTGGGCCCTTCGAATGCAGCAGTAACCAATGCACAAGGCTGTATTCCCAGGGGCCTGCTTTCTTGAGAATGAGACCAGACAGCACAAGAAACATACCTATAAACTGGGTATGGCAAAGAAGAGAGGAGTGTTACTAAGAGAATCAGATGGGTATGGCGACACACATAGTTTAATTCTAGCACTGGGGAGGCAAAGGCAGGCTGATCTCTATGAGTTCAAGGCCAGCCTGGTCCACACAGTGAGTTCTAAAGCAGCCAGGGCTGCAGCAATGAGAGACTCTGCCTAAAAGAAAGAAAAGTCAGATCTGGTGATGGAAATGGGATCTTCAGGGTGACGTTCTTAGAAAAGGCATCTGAGGAAACTCTCTGAGGAAGTGACTGTTGTGCTTAGATCTGAGGAGGAAGAAAGCAGCATAAGAAGGCCCAGGGGAGGAGTACCCTAAGAAGAGGGCACAGCAAGCCAAGGACTCTAAGATAGGAAGCTTGGAATAGTCGGGATCAGAAAGAGCGAGTGTGAATGCCCTTCATGGCTAAGATGCCAGCTAAAGCCTTGGCTTGTACCGTAAACACATTAGGAAAGCTGTTAGTCAGTCGGACACCCAGGAGTGGCAGGATCTTATTTATACCTTAAAACAAAAAGGCCTTGGCCACCAGAGACAAATAGCTAGGATGGAGAGTAGGTCAGTCAAGGGGTGAGGTCCTTAGAGCTCTAAGTTCTGAAAAGGGTTCAGCTGTTTTGACCAATGACACTGAAGAAGGGATCACGCCTTCATCTCCCGGCCTCACTTTCTTTTCCTGTACACACCGGAACAAGAACAGTCTCGAGCAATACAGTTAGAGCACTACAGTGCCCAAGCGTCTCAGTGAGTTAGAAATGCAACCTTCATGAACGGGGCTACAAAATCCTGCACGGTGCTCCATTCACACGAAGCAGATGGGTGTGGCTAACGGGGAAAGTCATGATGCAGGGTGGCTGTTACGAAACCTGTGGCTGGCGCCATATTTGGCAGAGAGAGCTGGTAATCAGACAAGAGTTTAAGGTTTTGTGACCAATGTTTGTCTCACCTATGTATAATTTGTCATCAATGTCACTGCGTTCCTGGGTCATCTCATATGCAGGAAACAACACAGTTCTGGGTTTAGACTTGTACTCTACCCCTCTGAGTATGTTGCCTGGGTCAGAAGCTCCCATTCCTTCTGATAAGCAGAACCTTGACTCTGAAGCTCTCTGGTTCCGCTGTGGGTGAAGGTGAAGTCCATGTGGATCAGGGACCTGGTTGGGGTTCCCTCCTCTGTCTAGGAACCAACATCCTGTGCCTGACGATGGTAAAAGAGGCAGAGAGGGGGTGGGGAGAAGAGTATCTGGAGTCAATCTGGCCTTGCACCCCACCCCTACTCCCTGCAGCCTGCAGCAGGTTTTCAGCTGGGAAGCCGAGGCTATTGAATCAGGATTGGACTTAATTGCTTTGCTGATGACAAAGCCACATTTCAGCATCGATCTCGGCTTCTGTAGTCTGCAGAGGGCAGCCAGCAATTGCTCTAGTGGAGGAAGCAGGGGAAATAAGGGCTTTCTCCAACCTCACCACCCTCTATAATACCTACCTGCTCCAGAGGAGCCATCCTGTGGTCAGACTGTGAAGGCCACTGTAGCCCTGAGGCTGCCACTGGCTCAGGCCATGTGACCTTATCTGTGCAATGGTGACAGTGGTGTCACCCACCACCATGGCAGACACTGACAGAGCTTGTGGTTATGATTGTTCCTAGCAGCCTGAGGCAGAGACTACTGGCAGCAGAACTTACACAAACTCTTATGGGGGTCTTAGACAGAGGTCCTGACAGGCATGCAGGCTCTGGGCCAGCCCCAAGGGAGGGATGGACACACCAAGTTTACCATATACGTTCTTTGCAGTTGTCTGTCCTTGATTGCAGTGTCCTATGAAATGGAGGGGCTGCTGGGGTACAGCTCTTTTGAAGAAAACAGTCACTACCTTAGGAAGCTTGTCAAATCCATCCATCCATCCATTCATCCATCCACCCAGTGATTTCTTAAGTAACTAGCATGTACCAGGCATTCAAACAGATGTAGGTGGTACAACAGAGTCTATATCCAAAGATGTAGGTTCTGTGAGACACGAAGATGTTGCCTGGCCCACTAGAGCCCAAAGGAGGGTCCCTACAGGCTTGAAGTCAGGGTGGGCTTCTAGAAGCCAATGGCATTGAGGGACAGTAGGATGGAGTAATGGCTGGTGATAGGATGTGCCTACTAAGTGAACTGGCCACTCCCAGACAGGAACCAGAAAGGGCAAAACTCTGCAATTCATCTGCCTGGATCGAAGGTCTGGGGGCTAGCCTGGAGGAATTATAGGGAGTTGTACTGGGACTCCAGACCTTGGGATGGTTGGGTCATACAGGAAGGAGTTGGATGAGAATCTCCTTGGAGAGCCCTGGATAGTGAGACCTGGAGAGGGAGAGGGACTCATTTGGATCCTCACTACCCACTTGCCCTTTCTGTGAACTCAGAAAGCCTTGATATATCGGCCTCCTTTTCCAGCACCTAGGGCCACCCTGGGAGGTAAGGACAATAGAAGCAGAGTAAAGGTCATATCTTCTCTGGGATTTACATGGAAATCTGTATTTCAGATCACCAGAAGCTGGAGCGTGAGGCCCGTATCTGCCGCTTGTTGAAGCACCCCAATATCGGTGAGCTGTGGGAGTACGAGGGGTCCTGGCACAGTGTGGGGTGGTGAGGAGCAGCCCCTCTCTTCTCTGGGGATGGAGGCTGCAAAGGGAGCTGGGGAAAGGGGTGTCTTACTGAGGACCAGCTTGCTTCGGGGGAAGGTGAAGAAAGGACCCTTCTTCCCACCCACGCTGCCAGCGCCTCCTTCGGAAAAGCTGTTTCAGGAATGCTCTCGGAGCCGAAAAAGAAAGATGAAAATAGGCCATGGGAAAGCTTGGCCTTGACCAACAAGGCCCACGCCCCGACCCACCACATGCAGTGTCAGCCTGGATCAGTGGCCCTGTCCCATTTCAGAGTCCTGCGCTTGCCTGCCTCCTGCATCTCCAGGAGCTTGGCTGGTGCCCCAGAGTTAGACTGAGGTGATCTTCCGGAGATGCTTGGCTCATGTAGGACCACAAGCACGGCCCCGAAATACACTACATGTCTCAGTGTTCCTTCCTTCCCCTCCTGTGCATCTGGTCTGCAGATCCGGGCTGGTCAGGGAGGAGCAAGGCTGGTAGGTCCAGTTCTGTCAGGGGACAGCTGTGAGACCTTAGTGGGACTTCTGCCCTCTCAGAGTCACTTTGTTTACCTGTCTAGTCACCTGGGCATCTTGTGTCATGCAGCTTCTGCTTCCATGGGCCTGAGATGGGCTGAGATGTCACAGCTCTCACAGAGTCTCACAGAGGGGAAGCTAAGGCTGCTGGTTACCAGAGCAAGCTCCAACAGCTGTGCCTTCTCCAGCAGAGGGGAAACAGGCTCCTGTACCGGAGCTGAGCTGGAAGGGTTAACTTTCCCCAGGGAGAAAGCTCCATGTGCTATTTATACCAGAGGCCCCTCCCCTCCCCTGCACAGCAGCCAGAGGCAGGCCAGTAGCAAAGAAGAGGTCACAGACCACAGCTAGAGGAGGACCCTAGCTGGACCCTGCTCTGCTCACCTGGGTCCTCCATCCCTCACTGCTGATGGAAGGTTTCAGTGAGCTCTGACAGAAACTCTATGTTCTCAAGAAGGCTGTCAGCTTGGGAAGAGGAGAGTGGTATGCATGTGTCTGGTGTGTGTGTGTGTGTGTGTGTATGTGTGTTATCTGTGTGTTTCTCTATATGTGTGTCTATGTAGCATCTATGTGTGTGTATTTCTGTATGTATCTGTGTGTATGTGTCCTATGTATACAGCATGATATATCTGTATGTGTCTCTGCACGTGTATGTCTCTCTGTGTGTGGTATCTGTGGGGTGGTGTCTGTATGTGGTGTCTATGTGTGTTCTGTGCACACACATATATGTAACCTAGATGGGTTTGCGACTGCAGCGGATCTGTCTGAGCTCAGAGTTCCTATCTATGTATCTCTCTCTCCCATTCCCAGCTATAATGGGAATACACAGGCCAGGCGGTAACAACCTGCAGCTTAAGCACCGCCGTTACAATGTGACTGACCCTAGACACATTGCCTCACCATTCTGAAACTTAGATTGTTCTGTACCTCACTGGATATGGTAACTCAATAGAGAACAGTGCAATGCCAGAGTGAAGGAGCTCTACCCTGCTCAGGCACCCACACCACAGTCTGCCCATTCCTGCAACAGGACCTCCTCCACACAAGACAAGTTTCGCATGCGATCCCACATTGCTCTGCGCCATCCACACAGGGAGACACCCTGACACAATGAGGCGCAAAAGCCCAGAGATGACAGTCATCAGCTTTCCCACTGTCTCCATGGAGATGTTCCCTCCTCATTTACCCGATGTCAAATTCACCGGAGGCTCTACCACATGTCCAGACCTCTTCCAGGCTGTTGGGAGAAATGATGATAGGAATGGGCTTAAGTAAACATGGCTCCTCACAGGGAGCAGAGCTGAACAGATAGCCAGAAGGATCTCAGAAGAGCCACGAGTGTCTGCCGGAGGGCTGGAGAGACCCTGACCTTGCCCCACAGCTTACCCCAAGCTGATGAACTCTTGTCAGAGAAGCCTTAATGTAGTATAGATGTGGTACAGAAACCCAGAGGGCTCCATGCCTGGGGAAACCTCACATGATCTCAGTCTGCTTAGCAAGTCCAGGCAAAGGTAGATGGGCTGCTATATGCTTGTGTCCAGTGCCCTGTCTCAGGGGTGGAGGAGGGGTTCTCAGCACAGGCTAGTCGAGCTATGGCTGTAGACTCTTTGCCTCTTGGTTCCTGCTTGGGTACTGCTTTCGATAGGTAGACTCTAGAAGTCCCATGCCAGTGTCAGAGTGAGCCGGGGCTACTTAAAACCGGAGTGTTTAATGAATAGTTTGGGAAGGAGAAGAGAATTTGAAGATATTCGGATCTCATGCTCTACCTCCTGATAATTCAGCTATGAACTCCTCAATGGAAGCATAAATCAATTCGGTGGGGTTAATATCCTCATGATCCAATCACACACACCCCAGCACTGCTCACTGGGGATCAAGCCTTTAACACATGAGCCTTCTTGGGAGACACTTCACACTCTAAGCAATAACAGCTTTTATCATCGTTTAAGCATGCCCCCGTGAGCTAGGGATATGGCGCAGGGATTAAGAGCGCTCGCTTACTGCTCTTGCAGAGGACCTGATTTAGGATCTCAACACCCACATCAGGTGTCTGTCTCATCACCACCTGAAACTCCAGTTCCAGGGGACCTGACTCCTCTGGACTCTGCTGGTACCTGTACTCACATGTGCACACACACACAGAGGTACGTAAATAAAAACAAAAACAGAACTTTAAAAGAGTGTGCCTTCACATTTCACTTACCATTTCAGGTACAGTGCTTGGGATCCCAGCACTTGGGAGGCAGAAGAATTGTGAATTTGAGGCTAGCCTGAGCTACACAAGAAGACCCTTTCTAAAAACATACAGCAACAGCAACAATGACAAAGATCTTGGGGATGCAGTTCAGTGGTAGAACACATTTTTTTTTTTTTTGCTTTATTTAATCCCCTACACTATAAAAAGGGAAAACAAAACAAAACACCATGTAACATTCATTTAAGTCTGTGTAAACCACCCTTCACTCCACCATTTTCTGTCTCTGCTGGCTGGTTATCTCCTAGGGCATCCTCCATTCAGGTATTGCTTCTCAGCCCACCAAGCTTATGAGCAAGTCTGAGTGCCATGAGCCACTCAAGGGTGCTGTGATATTGTGTGCCAATGCTAGGGGTTTCCAAGGAGAAGGAAGCCTGCCTCCCTCTCCCCCACACAGGCTTCCTGTTGCCTGACTCTCCACATCTTTCCAGAAAGACTCGAATCATGACCAAGCTCAGACATCTCCTTAGGAAAAACATCAAAGCTCTACACTTCGCTTTTTCACTAAACGACATAATTTGGAGAAGATTCCAAGCCAGTGGGTGATAACTGCCAAATCATTCCAACAGCTGTGTGACTTGCATTGTGCAGAAGGATTCCCATTGTCCCAGCCAGCTCTCCCCTACATTGTGTCTATGACACAGAGAAGGGTGGGCACCCTAGTCTGTGAGAACTGGTCCTCGACTGACGTGACATAGCTTTCAAGAATCAGTCCTAGGCCACGGGCCTTCCTTTCAAAAGCTGAAAAATTTAGGAAGCTCTGGGCTCCTGGGAGCCTTGCTTCTGTTCCTGGGAAATGAGGTGTGAAGAGATGACAAATTCGCAGCCATCAGAGTTCAGGAACCAACTGCTGTCTCTCTCACTCCAGCCCCAGGAAACACTATTGTCTCTCAGCCTGGGAGCAGAGCGGGGATTTCAGTCCAGGGCCTGAACTGAGTGGTTACGGCTGTGCACTTCATCGGACTATTGAAACAAGGTTGCAATGTCTAAATGAGGAGAAAAGAGGCTCAGGCACAGCAACCTGCCCACCCGCCATCGGACAGCTGCGCTTGGGCAGAGACTGGAATCACAATCTTGTTGTTGTTTTCTCTCTCTCTCTTTTTACCACTCTGGCTTGCCTAGAAACCGAGGCTTGGAGCAGGGAGAGGATCAAGCTGACACACAGAGGTCTTCAGTTTTTACACCTAGTTTCCTTCAGTAATGCTGGAGGTCTTGGTGGAGTGAATTCCTTGCACTTGCTTTTATCAAAGTCTGTGCTTAGGGACTGAGGGTTGAGCCGGTGGCTCCAGGAGTCTGACAGGAATAGTGGGGGTGGAGAACACCGAACCCATGTGTAACCAGCTGCTTTTAACCCTGCCCACAGTCCGACTCCATGACAGCATCTCCGAGGAGGGACACCACTACCTTATCTTCGATCTGTGAGTCTTTCTGAGCATAACCTGATATGCCATGGGAGACGGGTGCCTGGGCAGGGCTGACAGTTAGGGACTCTTTGATATGAGGGGTTCTGAGCGCTCGTAGGCTGTCCAGTGGGCCTCTCCCAAGGCTGCACAAGCTGGTCTTTCTGCTTAAAACACCAGACACATCCCAGCCAGCACCATCAGTTTATTTTTTGCTTCTCTATTTGTGGCCAGTGATGCTGCCGCCTTGCTGTTCGTGGTGGGGGTATCAAGTTTCATTTTGAAATCTGGTTTGTCAAAGCAGGAAGGAAATGACAGGCTTCAGTTGTTCCTGGGTGGGCCAGTGAGAATCAGTGAGGATGCTTGTCTGGTCTGTAAAACACAGTGATGCTCAGAAGCGGGGACAGGAGCACATGGGAAATCTTCATAGCTCCCACTCAATTAAAAAAAAATAAGAAAAATATTTAAACATAAATAGAAAAGTGTAAAAATAAGCTAAGTGAGAAACCAAACAGCCCACAGCTTCCAGGAGCCTCATAGACCCAGGGATTGCTTCTGAGTTACTGTCCCCACCAGTCTGGGCCCAGTGAGGCCGGGAAAGGGGTAAGGGAAAACTGCGTGTGTCAGAAAACAGGAACAGGGTGGCTGCAGGGGCCTTTGTGATCCAGTTCTTCCTTTGGGGACTGAGATTCTAAGGTCCCCAGCTCTGCCCTTCTCAGATGATTTCCAGAAGGTTCCTCCAGGGCACGTGGCTCCTGGAGTCTCAGTCAGAGCGTGACTCTATATCTGTCTCCCCAGGGTCACTGGTGGGGAGCTGTTTGAAGACATTGTGGCCCGGGAGTATTACAGTGAGGCTGATGCCAGGTGAGTACCGGCTGCAGCCAGGCAGAGGTGCCTGGAGGTAGGGTGCCTTTGCCTGCAGTCAGCTTTCCAAGTGGCCTGACCCCTCCCCCTTTCTCTCCAGCCACTGTATCCAGCAGATCCTGGAGGCTGTGCTGCACTGTCACCAGATGGGTGTGGTGCATCGCGACCTGAAGGTGAGTAACCCTGGAGAAGCAGCTCTCCCAGGTCTCCTGCCTCTGCACTCCCTTCCCACCCAGATCCCTTCATCTGGGGCCTCAGCCCTCTGAATCAGCATTCCCGGAATTCCTTTCATTTCTCCTCCTTGAGGTGGGTGGCTGTGTTTTCCAGCTGTCAAGACAGCTGAGCTCGGGAAGGTAGGACTACCAGGGGGTCTAGCCCCATGCGGTTTGTACCAGGTGAGATGGTTTAGACTGAGGCTGCCCTGTGTATTGGAAAGGAAGTGGAGCTCAGTCTGCTGCCTTCCAGCTACTTGGCTTTTTTCTTTCTTTTTTCTTTTTTTTAAGATTTATTTACTTTTTGTATATGAGTGTTTTGACAGAATGCTTGTATGTGCATCATGAGTGTGTGTGTGTGTATGTGTGTGTGTGTGTGTATGTGTGTATATGTGTGTGTGTGTATGTGTGTGTGTGTGTATGTGTGTGTGTGTGTGTATGTGTGTGTGTGTATGTGTGTGTGTGTGTGTGTGTGTATGTGCGCGCGCGCACCTATGTGAACCACACACATGCCTGGTGCCTGTGGAGGCCAGAAAAGGGCATCAGACCCCCTTGAACTGGGGTTACAGGCACTTTGCACACCTTTATGTGGGCACTAGGATTCAAACCCTGGTTCTCTGGAAGAGCATTCTTAACTATTGGACACTTTCAACCCCTGGGTGGGACTATCTTGCAAGAGACTCAGCTTCCTTACAGAAGGGGTTGTCAGGGCAACCTCTGCCCCCATTGATGAAGCTACCAAATGAAACTAGAAAATTCCTGGGATAGAGACACCCTGTTACTCTTATTCCTGGATCTCTGTCGGGCAGAGGAGAAGGAAAACAGGGCTGGGGGTGGGGGCGGGGATCTCTGTGCCACCTTTTGGTCATCTGAAGGGAAGGAATAACACTTGAAAATCTGTCTAGCATTGTCATGGGCTACCTGTGGGTCTCCTGTGCCAGCTCGACCTCAACATAGTAACTCACAAAAACCCCATCTTACAGAACAGGAAGCAGACAGAGAGAATATAAGGGTTGTCAAGGATATGCATTTCAGTGGAGTCTGAGCAAGGACAGGGATCGCTGGTTTGTTTTCACCCCAGAGCCTGTGACCTCACCGTCTAGGTCCAGAAAGTCCCTCTAGGGCAGGCATGCCAGGTGTCCAGGGACCTTGGCCATCAGTGACTGTGCAGACATCCTATGGGGTAGCCCTGGCAAGACCCCCCACCCCCAACACACATACACATTCACACTTTCTTATACTCACTGTGGACACTGCCTACAACCCCCAATTTGGAAGGCAAAAGGCTTTTGGGGAGCCCCAGAGCCATTGAGAAATGCTCCTCAGGCTTCCCAGAGCTGCAAACCCCCCATTCTCACCAGGATTGACTCCAGGCCTTCTGAGCCTGGATAGCTTTCGTGTTGAGCAACCAGCCTGTCCCCATCCTTCAGGCGACAGTATTCTGAAAAGGCTCCCTACCTCTTTCTTACTACCTTAGGCCCTCCTTGAGGTCTCACCTGTGCCCTAGGTGAGGTCTTGGTACCTTGGTGACGAGAAGGTAGGCCCAAGAACAAGGTCTCAGTCCAAGGGCTTTCCCCAAAGGGTCTGCTGTTGTTATGGTAACAGACCATGCTTGAGAGCTGAGAAGCGGCCCAGATTTAGGCCACTCTGGAATCTCTAATTAGCAGTACATTCTTCAAATCAGGGCAGGACACTACTGAGACATGGGACATGTTGGGAACACAGCCCCTGAAGACAAAGGAGGCCTCACCAAGCCAGGTGGAAGGGCCATATTTCTTTGGGCCAAGGCTAACTTTGGACTGTGTAAGGTCTGGTAGGGTCCCTGAAAGTCCTGCTGGGAAAAGGGAGCCAGAGTAGACAGCAGCTACTCTGGCTCTCTATAGAGTGCTCCTGCCCAGCACCCAGCAGGAAGTTTAAGTACTGGGGCCTGGTGTTCACAGAGCTCTTTACACGCCTAGGCACCATGCTACTACATGTCAGGCATCTGTCCGTTTTCTCTGAGAGGAAATCAACCCTCAGAGAAGGAAAATCATTTGCCCAGGTTCCATTGCAGCAGTGGCAGCACTGGAATTAAAAGCTGAGACTGTGGGTCAGGGGAGATGGCTCAGCGATTAAGAGCACCAACTGCTCCTTCAGAGGTACTGAGTTCAGTTCCCAGCAACCACATGGTGGCTCGCAACCATCTGTAATGGGATCTGATGCCCTCTTCTGGTGTGTCTGATGACAGCTATAGTGTACTCACATAAATAAATAAACAAACAAAAAAGAAAAAAAAAAAGACTAGCCATTATCCCAAAAGCTGAGACTGTCTTAAGTGTGGATTCCATACTCTTAGCTCCCCTTTGTTCACGCTCAAGGTGATAGGAAGCCCTAGCAAGTGGAAGAATTTGGGGGCCCAAGACAGAGGCAGCAGCCTTGATGCCCCAGAAGCCACATGCACGTACACACACACACACACACACACACACACACACACACACAGAAGTCCCACTTTCAGGCTGGAGAGATACCTCAGTGGTTAAAAGCACTGATTGTTCTTCTGGAGGTTCTGAGTTCAAATCCCAACAACTATATGGTGGCTCACAAGCATCTGTAATGGGATCTGATGCCCTCTTATGGGGTGTCTGAAGACAGCGATGATGTACTTACATATAATAAATAAATAAATAAACCTTTGGGACAGAGCAAGTAGGGCCGGAGCGAGAGGGAGAAGGGGAGGGGGAAAAATGTATGGAATAAAAAAAAAGCCCTACTTTCTCCATCTTGTACACATGACGAACACATGGTTAACAACAGGTGCTAGGGTGGATGAGAGAGAGAGAGCTCTTTGGAGGGCTTGACATGAGACCGAGAACAGGACAGAGATACTTGGGAGGCAAGCAAGCCATACAGGGAGCACACGGGATGCAAAGGCCACTGCACAACTGTTTCTAGGGGTGGAAGAAGGTCACTGTAGGAAGCAAGGTACCTGTTCTGAGGTCACTGGGGTGACTTGTGGGAGATGGATGGTGGACCACACCACTGTCCTGATACTAAATGATGCTGCCACCTTCTGAATGAGGTTAGGTGGTACCACTTTGTTTCAGCTCCCCTTGCCCACAGCTCTCAACCCTGGGGAGAATCCTTCTGTTGCAAATGATGTGGGTCTTGCCACAGTCCCCCCTCTTGGACACAGAAACTCAGGACCCTGGGTCTGGAGGTGTGGGAGGGGGTGAGACCCCGGGCCATTCAGCCATTCTTCCTGTGTGTCCTGGCAGCGGGTGAGGTTCTGAACCTACTGACTATCTCTTGGGCCTCCTTCTCTCTCTCCCTTCCTGGTCCTGGGAAGCCTGAGAATCTGCTGCTGGCCTCGAAGCTCAAGGGTGCGGCTGTGAAGCTGGCAGACTTTGGCCTGGCCATAGAGGTTGAGGGGGAGCAGCAGGCATGGTTTGGTGAGTGGGGTGTAGGGTGGCAGGGAGGGGAAGGGCAGACTTTGGGTGACATATGTTGCCCCTGGGAACCTTCTGCCTAAGATGAGATGGCTGTTTGGCCATGTGAGACCCAGAAAACACAAGCTGCACCCAGCCAGCCTCTGAGCAGTGGGCAGTGTCGACCTCTCTCTGTCAGAACTAGGTATGGAAACAGGCCCATCATTAACCAGGTGCTCTATCTTGTTTGTAAGAGCATTCACTTATACTCTGGTGGGAACTCTGTAGGTTTCCCCTTAACCCTGGATACTGGGTGTCACAGAGGAGGGACATACAGGCTAAGCAGCTTGAGAAAGGTCAGGAGAAACTGACAGGTATGGAGCTCTGTTGCGTGAGTGCAGATGTCCCAGCATGCCTTGGGATTGGTAACGATGGGACATATTTTTTTCTATCTGGGTACATCTTACTGAACAACAGTGGCCAGTGGTTGAGACCCAGAACTCTTAAACTGGGTGTGGTGGCACCTGCCTCTAATCCCAGCACGTGGAAGGTAGAAACAGAATAACTGAGAGTTCAAGGCCAGCCTGGGCTACAGATATGACACCCTTCCTTGAAACAAAACAAAGACAAACAAGAACCAGAGTTCTAGGTTCAGATCCTGACTTTGCTACTTACAAGGTGTGCGGTTTTAACCAAGTCTTGTTTTCCTCATCTCTTAGAAAAGGACAGTAGCATGTTTCTCAGGGAATCCAAGAGGGTAACTTAGAGCAGGCATGTGACGTGTGTGCCCAGTCCAATGCTTAGCACACATCCGCAGCAACTAGTAACTGCTCCTGAGACAACTAGTTAAGGTATCTAGTTAAGATAATCTTGGTGTTCATTCTTCCAACAATCCTCTCAATATTAAGAAATATTAAAGGTAAGACCTTCTAATTCTTTGTTTCATAGATCAGGACACTAAGGCCTGGAAAACACACGCATATGCACACACACACGAATGAGAGTTAGTCAGAATTAGGAACAAGGCTCTGACATCTCGTGAGCATCCCTTGAGCAGGGTATGGGGTGTGGACAGTAGATCAGCTCTTAAAGGCCACCAGCAAGTGGTAGGTAATGGGTACAGTGAAAGTTGGAACCCAGGGAAAAGGTGGTCTGTGATTGATTACTGTGGTCTACCTGAGGCTCCGGATGGAGTGGGGAGTAGAATGGAGGTGTGGTGTACACCTGTCTGTTGGTCCCAGTCCGGTATGTAGGCCTCACCAGCTTACCAAGGCCCCTGGGTTGGCACAGTACAACCCCAGCTTTGGGGCAGGGCTGTGTTCTCCAGCTCCAGGGCTATCCTCGTCCCCTCTCCTGCAGGGTCTTGCTCCAGGCTACTCACGTGCCAACCTCTGTGTGTGTGTCTGCCTGTCTGTGTGTCTGGGGAGCAGGGTTCGCAGGGACACCTGGATACCTCTCCCCAGAAGTGCTGCGGAAGGACCCGTACGGGAAGCCCGTGGACCTGTGGGCCTGTGGTAAGTCCATCTGGAAGGCCTGTTTGTCTCCTAGCCATCCTGGCCTATAGGACCCTGTCCACTTTCCACCACTCTCCTGCTTCATCTCTCCTCTCCTGCTCCTCTCTCCAGGCGTCATCCTGTATATCTTGCTGGTTGGGTATCCCCCGTTCTGGGACGAGGACCAGCACCGCCTGTACCAGCAGATCAAAGCTGGTGCCTATGATGTGAGTGTTACTCCCCTCTCCGGCTGGTGCTCCCCTTCTGGTGAGAGCCAGTGGCCTAAGAGGCCAGAGATCTGAGGACACACCGCCACTCTCTACCACTGCAGAGGATGAAGTCCAGGGATGCTCTAAGACTGACCGTCAGAGTCAGGCTATGACCACATGGTGCCTAACAATGAGGGTCTAAAAGTCATGAAGTTTATCCCATGGGGCACTAGAAGGTAGAAAGGACAGGCCCCAAGCATTTTATTTATTTACTTATCTATTCATAGTTAGTTAATATTCAAAAGATGTCTCAGGAGACCAGCCTGGTCTGAGAGTCACTGTGTAGCCAAGGACTCCTGTTGTCCTGCCCCCACCTCCCACGTGCTGAGATGATCACTGTGTCCCACCACACCTGACTCTGAGACATGCTTTTTTTTCCTCTTCCATATATGAATAGACGACTGAGTCTTTTGTAGCATTCTTCTGAATGTCTGACCTGTAATAATCACAAAAGCATCACCTCAATCTATGACATAGTCACTGGTCTTACCCTTCAGTATACTCATAAGGAGGTTAAGGACAGAGGCTTAGCGTGTGGGACTCGAGGGTAGCAGTCTGGCTCTGGCACCCATGTTTCTAAGTACTTCGTGGATACCTGAGTGTTTGGGCATGAGAACCCCTGCCTGCTCCCCTGCCAGTCAGGGGCTGGAGGATCGCAGGGGTGGCCTGGGGCAGGCTAGGCAAACCTGGCCCCTCTGCCCCTTCCAGTTCCCATCACCAGAATGGGACACCGTCACCCCGGAAGCCAAGGATCTGATCAATAAGATGCTGACCATCAACCCATCCAAACGCATCACGGCTGCAGAGGCTCTCAAGCACCCATGGATCTCGGTGAGCCTTTATCAGCCACACCCACCCGGGAGGCCTAGTCTCTCAGGGTCCAGTGGGGTTGAGCGGGCCTTCTCTGTGAATCTCTGGCTCACTGTGGGTCTCAGGACAATATAGAAATGAGGGATATTATGGGTTGGCATCTGTTGGGAGTGTCACTGGTGCTGACTTACTGGTGCTCCGATCCTGACCATCCTACACCATGTAGCAGAATGAAGGATCATCCTCCTTAAGATATTGCCATGGTTCTGCTCAAATGATATTAGGTCAGTCTGTTGTGCCACTGGCCTTCTCCTCACACAAGTTCTTCCTCTCTTTTCAGCATCGCTCCACCGTGGCCTCCTGCATGCACAGACAGGAGACCGTGGACTGCCTGAAGAAGTTCAATGCCCGGAGAAAACTGAAGGTAACCTGTCCGTATTCCTGGCAACCCTGGGCTCACTAGCTCTTTTCTTCATTGGTTTCACGTATGTTAACTGGTCGTTCTTGCATGCTGGCCCCCAAGGGGTCTGGAGGAGTGAGCAGCATATCTGACCCCATCCCATCCTGTCTGCACTCTGGCTGAGAGGGCAGACAAGCAGGACTCTGCTGGGGCATGGTGAGTACTGTGCCTAGTGGTTGGTAACATACCAGGATGATGACCTTCCCTGGCCTGGAGGATTCTGGGAAGTATCTCAAGTGGCTTTCCTGGAGGCAGTGGCATTTGAGTTGACTCTTCACAACAAGCAGGTGTAGAGTGACAATGGGGAGATGTTCCAGATTGAAGGATGGCCAGTACAGATGTCTGCAAGTGTGAGCACTACTTTCTAGGGGACCAAGACTGGCTTAAGAGAGGAGGAGGCGGACAACACGTGACTAGACCTGAAACTACTGTTGAGAGAAAGAGCCCAGTTGTCAAGCATGGAAGAGTAGTAGATGAGTGTACCAGAGATAGGTTGGAAGGCCTGAGAAAGCCACTATGGCCTCGAGGTGGGCTGAGCAGGTCCTGTACTCAGGAAGGCTCTGTAATGATAGATAGCTGTCAGTGTGCCTGATGAGGCAATGAGGGTCGAGGTGGAGGCCTGGCTCACCCAGAACCCACTTACCCACTGCTTCTAGACCTGGATAGAAATCTCAGGATGGTGACCTAGGCCGAAGGTGTGGCTCAATGTCAGGGGAACTGAATCTCACTCTCACCCCAGTGGGAAGTGTCCCAGAGGAAGTTTCCAAGTGTGGACATCAGCAATTCTCAATGTGAAGGGCAGTTGGATTTGGAGATGGTCCGAGTCAGGTCTTAATGAGATAATACAAGGACAGGTTGGGCCATGGTTTCCAGTCCTTCACCAGCACAGAGGGCTTCTCCAAGTTAATATCCTGGTCTGGTCCAGGGGCCATGGAAGGAAGGGTTGATTCGAGAGCCAGCTCCTCTGAGCCTAGCTGCCTTCCAACCCAAGCGGGAAACTTCTGTAACCTTTAAGAGCCTCTGCCAGAGTGTTCTTGAGTTCATTAGTTTTGGCCAGGCCATGGGACCTAATGTCTGTCTCAAGGGCTGTGCCTGCCGAAGCTACCTTCTCCAGGGAGAGTGGATGGGCTCTGGGCTAGAGGGTGGTACGTGGTCAAGTGGAGGGGCTGGGGAGGGACTTTGACTTGTCTCTGAAGGGCACACTGCCTTCTCTTCCCCATGTCCTTCTGTTCCTGTCTCCGCCCCTCCCCTCACCTGTGCCTCTTCTTGGGCCCCTCTTGTCTGTTGCAGGGAGCCATCCTCACCACCATGCTGGCCACCAGGAACTTCTCCGGTAGGTGGTGGGGCTAGAGTCCCCAGTACATCCTGCACAGGTCTGCTGGATGACATTACACTGTTGGGCAGCTGGGTGTTCCCAGAGATAGAGCTGCAGAGGACACCATGATCTAGGTTTAGCGCATCCACCACAGTCAGGATGAAGAAAGGAAAGAAGAGAAACCAAAAGCTAGCAAACCAATGCCTAGTTAGCTAGCAAACCAACGCCTAGTTAAAGGTTGAGTCTAGTTCCCCAGTCTACAGCAGCACTGGGGTTCTCAGGCCAGGCCAGCTAGAGGGGAAGACAGCTATTGGAGTCTAGTCCAGCAGGAAGGAGCCATACTCAGGGAACACTAATCTTAGAGGTGAGTCCTCTAGGCCCTGAGCTTCAACTCAAGTTGTCTCATTACAAGGCTGGGAGGGCTATCTCTTTTTTCCATGTGGAGCTGACAGAAGCATAGAAACCTGTGCTCTGTCTCTGCCCTGGTTCCAGAACTCAAGGGAGGCAGAACCTGTCTTCAGCACAGGTCTGACCAACTCACAGCTGGAGCTTTTATATCAGTGGGGTTACCCAGTAGACCAGGGCAGGAAACTCCCAGGCATGGAGAGCCCAAGTACTTGGGCATGTAGCTCCAAACCGGAGGGAAAGGGATTATTGTCAGAGCTTAGCAGCTCCTCTCAGCACATGGGTTAGTGACAGGCCAGTGCCTCTCCCCAGGGAGTCCTGGGCAGTGGAGCAGACAGCGGAAGAGACAGGGTTCACTAAAGGGGTCTTGGCACTGGGGCTAGGCCAGCTTAGACAGCTACACAGACAGACACAGGCCCACTGAAGCCAGGGGTCACTTCTGAGCAGGGTGTAGGCCTGGGTCCCCTAGGAGGGTCTGCCTATCCAATGACCAGCTGGAAAGGGAAAGGCTAGCTTTAGATATGGGCTTCATCCACACTGAACTGTCCTGAGACGTGGTTCTGGCCATTCCTTTCACTGACCACCGAAAGGTGCACAGACAGAGGGTTTGCTTGTTTTGTATTTTTGTTTTTTTGTTTTACAATTATAGACTGGAAAATGCCAGTCTCAAAGCCCACGGAATGGGGCCCATGGCTCTGTAAGCCAGGGCTGTGTAAAAAGTGGTTCTTTGTTTGTTTGTTTGTTTGTTTGTTTGTGGGGAATGTTAACTTCAGAATTTAGGAGCATTTATTACTCTTACACATGACTCAGACATAATTCTCAAAACTTACATGGAGGCTCACAACTGCCTCCAATTCCAGGGAATCTAATGGTCTCTCTGACCTTCATGGGGTCCTGTACACACATGGAACACATAAATTCACACAAACATACATAAATAAATCTTTTTTTTTAAAGAAGAATTTTTGGACCTGTCTTTGGTTTCCAATACAAAAAAAAAGGAGAAGAGAGAGAAAAAAGAAATAAAAGAAAAATTGGGGAGTAAATTTCTAACCATTAAAAATCAGGAGATTTGGGAGCTGGGGAGAGGAGTCTGTGGGAGATGGCTTGCTGGGCAAGCATGTGGAACTGAGTTCAGATCCCCAGCACCCGTGTGAAAAGCTAGATGTGTCTGTACCCACCTGTAATCCCAATAACTAGGAGACAGGGCTAGCTGACCAGTAGTCTAGCAGATCAGTAAACCCCAGGCTTAGTGAGAAACCCTGTCTCAAAACATAAGGAGGGGCTGGTGGTATGTGCCTTTAATTAATCCCAGCACTCAGGAGGCAGAGAAACAAGTGAATCTCTGTGAGTTTGAGACCAGCCTGCTCTACATAGCAAGTTCTAGCCAGAGCTATATAGTGAGAGCCAGTCAAAAAAAAAAAAAAAGCATGACCAAGGTATCCAACATTACCCTTTACATGTGCATACAAGACATACATATCAAATTAAAAAAATCAAGAGAATTTTTACAGACTCCCATCCTCCACTTCAGATTTTTGTGATCTTTTGATAATCAGTCTGGGAGATAGGGATGTAGCTTGGATGGTCGAGTGTTTGCCCAAAATGCATGAAGCCTATCTCCAGTAGCAAATAAAAATCAAGGCTAGCCCTGGTCTACAAAACGAGTTCCAGGACAGCCAGGAGAGCTTGTCTAGAGACAAACAAAACAACAAAAAAAATCCATCAAACAAACAACACCAAAACCCAAGAGCAATGTCTCTGTGTGTGTTGGCACATGGCTGTAATCCCAGGACTCAGGAAATGGAGGCAGGAGGATCAGAACAAGGTCACACAGTGAGTCAGGGCCAGTCTGGGCCCATTCTGAACAGAAAACCAGAGTCTGGCTACATTGAACACAAACCTGTATAACACTGGTCTGGAACCGAGAGTTTCCAAGGAGAACACGCTCCTTGAGGTTTGTTTTGGATCCACTCCTGCAGCCTGAAGAGACAGACACAAGTCCTTTCAGGCTTGGCACACAGAAAAAACCTCTACCCCTTGGGAGTTTTGACAGGTTACAGGGAGAGTCATACAGGGACTGAGAGAGCTGGGGTATCTGGGAGCTCATCAGAGCCCCTGGGCTGTCAGTGTCCCCACCCCCATGCCCAGTTCACCCTCTTAGGGCTTCCAGGAGAAGGACTAATCATAGCTGCAATTGAGCACCGACTGTATACACTCTGAATGCTATGCTAAGCACTTCATAGAGCCATGTCTATTTAAGGCATTTTTTAAAAGTCTGAAGTACAGGTAACGCAGCAGGGCAGGGCTGGGCATTCATGCTACCTTCTGGCTCATGCTTACTGCCAGGGTTCCAGCCAGGAAATGAGGGAGGTGAGGGAAATGCATGGTGCAAGCTTCTGTGAGAGCTGAGGCTGAGTTTGTCTATCACTGGGACTCAGCCAGCCCCACAGTGGGATTCTGGAGGTTAAACTTAGTTAGGCCTATACTACTTGAGAAGAAGGGCAGGGAATGAGTACTCTGGCAGGGGTGGGCCCCAGCAGGGGGGACATCTGCTTCTCATCACCAGCAAAATGCAGTCCGCAGCTGTCCAGAGTGAGTAGGCAGGGCTGACACATGACCTCAGCAGCAGCATGGGGCTAAAATTAGAGAGGGCCAGGGCAGGTGGGGGCCAAAGCAGGGAGCTTCCAGGTCTCAACCAGGCTGCAGGCTTCTGAGTTGGCCACCACCAGCATTGGTGACAGGAATTCAGAGGGAATCCCCAGGCTGAAACAGCAACCCTTCTGTCCCGGGACACACTGGACATCTCTCCAGGCCCCAAAGTCACAGGGCTATCCCTGAGACTGCTGAGAACTGGGCATCCCAGGCCCACTCTGTGGGTTGTTGACGAGGGAGTAGACGGTGGAAGACGACACGTGGAAGGAGGAGGAAGTCTCTCACTGGCCGCCAAGCCGACTCTGTCCCGACAATCCACCCTCCACTACTCTCGGCCCGGCTGCTCTGCTGCCTGCAAATGCTGCTCTTCCTCACACTGTGGGCCCTGGTGCCTTGTCTGGTGTTGCTAACCCTCTACTTTCTCTCCTCCACAGGAGGGAAGAGCGGAGGAAACAAGAAGAACGATGGTGTGAAGGTAAGTCCCCAGGAGCCAGCAGGCCTGACTCTGGCAGAGACCTGCTGTCAGGCCTCAGACAAGCCCTGGCCTCACCAATGGTGACATGTCAGATCCAGGGCCCAGCCCTCCCCAGATCACCCGGTCTGTGCTCCGGTGCCTACCTCTCACCAAGCTTGCTGGGAGCAGATTGGGGATGGCAGGTGGCCTGGGTTGCTCGGAGCACAAGAGAGGGGCAGATCTTGAGGAGGGTAGATCTGAGGCTCTACGGGGCTGGAAAACTGTGCAAAAGTGCAAAGGGGACAGAAATGGTCACTGAGGTGACTTCCTCCTGCCCAAGTGTGAGGGACTGGATGGGCCCTGGTCTGTGCATATACTAGTGTAGCCTGTAAGGCCCATGGAGAATGGGCAGCTATTTATTTCACCAGGCTTTGGGATCCAGAGGGCCCTCTTCTCCACCAATACCCATCTCCTCGTGCCCACCCCTGATGCTCAGGCTGCCTCTCTCTCCATACTTTCTGGCCCCTCTTTCCTGTTTTCCCTCACTTCTCCCTCTGGTCTCTGGGGTCTAGTCCCTCTGCTCTGCAGCCCCCTCCTCCTCTGCCATCTGACTGCCTCGTGGAAGGTCTCACCCCTGGAGACTGTCTTAGTCTGGACTCTGTACTCACCCACCCAGGACATTAGAAGATGTGAGGTCCTGAATGGCCTGGGTGGCCATTCAATGTGTGCTGGTGGCTGTACAGCTTCATTTAGAATGGCTATGGGCTGCCTCTGACTGCATGGGGGGTATCTGGGCTGGGTATCTCAGGCCAGAATTGGGCTTCTCCTCTGCCCATCCCCCTTTCCCACCTCAGGCTCTCTTACATTCTCAGGTGGGATGTGGACTTGGTGATGATTTCCGAGATTTCAGCTCTGAAAACATAGCCCCCCCCAGACCCCCCAAAAGCAACCTTTCTCCTCAATCTAACTATTCTCCTGTCTCGTTGTGTGTGCTTGAGGGCCGTGGCTACGTGCTGTGTAATGATGCTCGGTCAGTGACAGACCTTATATGCAATGGTGATCCTCAAAGACTACAGTGGAACTGGGAAGTTCCTATTGCCTAGCAGTTTTGCAATACCTTCCCTCAACTTTTTCCTTTCCTTGCCTTTTTAAAGAGAATCTCACCATGCAGCCCAAGCCAGCCTCAAACTCTCCATCTCCCTGGCTTAGCCTCCAGAGAGCTAGATTTGCTGGTATGCACCACTATGCCAGGCCCTTGCCATACTTAGACATGCTTAGATTTGTTTAGATACTTAGTACTTACCAGATGCCTTCTGTATTTGGTACAGTAACATGCTGTTTGGCTTTGGAGCCTAGGAGCACTAGAGATATAATGTGGCCTAAGGCACCTGTATAGAGGTCTAAGATACCTATAGAGTGACATAATCTATAAGGTGCCATAGAGTGACATAATGACATAATTTACAGAGGCATAAGGACACCTATATAGCAACATAACATAACCACATCATGACACATTTCTCAGAATGTGTCCCTGCCATTAAGACTATACATGATTATTTGGTTATTAGACAAAAGTCAATGTTTTTCAAAATGAACTCTTTGGACCCAAATATCCTAGGGAGGTTCCTGGTACTCAGAGATCTAGAAAGAGGAAGACTCAGTTTTTAAGGTCCTGAGTTTCCTGCAAGTATTTCAACCTCAACACCTCCATGCCGGAGTTATCATGCTGGGTAATAGAACAGGGTGGGTTACTGACACCCGGGGCATGGCTGGTTCAAGTCCCGGGGCTGTGCTTCCTTCTCTCCCTCCTCCTTGGATGGCCGTGAGGTTCAGCTGGGCTAACACATGTGGAGAGTGTGAACAGTGCTTATGTGCGCGAGAAGCCTTCGGAGCAGGAATAGCTTTCCTGTTTTGTGTGTCAGACTTTGTTTTCTCTCGAAAACAAAGCAGGCTCAAGGAAACACTTGGAAATCTCAGGTGAAAAGTTAACACATTTGTCACAGAATTAATAGGTATCTTATGGTGGACCCTACTCTGCTGTCTGAGTGTCCTTGAGTTAACTTTTGCTCCCAACTTAAAACGGGTGCTAGAGGATTATACCACATGGGGGCGCTGCAGGTTTAAAGAGGTGTGTAGCTGCTGAGCTGGAGTATCCTGGTCTGGATTGGCCCTGGCAGACTGTTGAAGAGCTCACATTGGGCCTGGCAGACTGTTGAAGGGCCACTGGGTTTGGGATCAGGAGAGGCTCGTGTTGGGCTAGAGCTAAGGCTGAAACTCCAGGTCTAGCAGCCCTTGGACAGAGGCAGAAAGGAGCACTGGCCAAGGTTAAGAATTGCTTCTACCATGGTACTCTCTGCTAGTTACCAGGGTGACAGCTGTCGAGACAGCTGGACAAAATGTGCCTGTTTCCTTCAAGGTAGGGCACACCCTAAGTGACCTCTCAGGGTGGCCTAGATGTGGCTGAAGAGAAACTCGAAGGGGCCTAGCCACTCCTTCTTAAGCCTACCTCCTTTCCTAGACATGGAGGAGGGAAGAGTAACTGGGGGCTGGCTTAAGACTTGGGGAACATGGCTGACTCTACCTTGTTCCTCCATGGAGCAGAGAGAGTAGCAGGGCTAGGGGAGGTAACAGTTATACATTCAAATCCTCAAGTCCAAAAGCCACGGGGTTGAGTCGGAACCTCATTATCGCTTCTTCCCAGGGGCTGGCCCTGGTCTTGCTATCTCTACCAGGAGAGCACAGAGTTGTTTATAAAGTCTGATGAGGTGGTCTCACCAGAGAGGCCTCCGAGAGCTGCATCATACACACACACCCCCTGCTTAAGGGGGAATCTGTGCTCTTTCCACACAATCTCTACAGTTGTGTGCTGAGAGACAAATGGCTCCACGTGGAGCTTGACTGGAGAGGCTGTGCAGCCTGCTCTGTCACCGAGGGAAGCGTCGCCGGGCCTGATTGACAGATAGGAGCTCGCTCTTGTACTTCTTGAGCCCTTGCAGTCTTTTCAGGGCTAAGATGAACTGTAATTCCTTTCCCTTGTTGACCTTAGAGCCAGCTCTAAGGTTCTAGGAGAAGCAACTCTGCTTTTGCTGACAGCCCCCACTTTCACTCCAACTCTCAAGTGCTGGTCAGGCTGGATAACTGTCACCTGCATTTGTCATTCTAGAAGATAGAGTCCTGTCCCCAAGGAGCAGTGTCCAGCCCTGGCCTCCTCTAGGCTTGGTTTCCATAAGAGGCATCCAGTGCTCCCACCCCTCACCCCACTCACTGCCCTGTTGGTGTCCCATCCGTGCCGTTGTCCACCTCTCCCCCATGTTCCATCCTGTCACTGTGCGTCCGAATCTGATGCAGTCTCTGCCCTGTGTTCCCTCTCCATGTTCCACCTGGAACCTTCCGGCCCACGTGGGTCTCCTCGGGTTTCTGCTGATGGCTGAGCTGTATCGGCCTGTCCCCATTCCCTACACGCTGTCTGGCCAAGCTGTAGCCATGGAGGGAGGCCAGCATAGAGGAGAGGAGAGGAGAGAGAGAGAGGACAAGAGAAAGAGAGGATGCATATGCCATACTTTGTAATGAAGCCACACTACCTAGTCACCTGGGCAGGTGTGCACTCATGCCCCATGAACACATGAGAGAGAAAGCTCCATCGAGGCATATTGTCTAGCGTGTGGAGGCCCTGGTTAAAGGGCGCACGTTAGCATACAGATGTTTACTGGAATAGAAAAGCAGGAAGCCCCAAATCTAACCTGACTCTCTCAAGGCATATTGTAGCTCAGGCCTACACTGGAGAGACCTTTTAAAGGGAGACCTTAAGTCTCTCCTTTACTCTCTTCATGGGGTAGTAGGCAAGGGGCTTCTGGCCCTCAGAAGGCAGGGTATCTAGGACAGCATGAGCCTTTGAGGAGAGTCTGTTTGAAGTTCTGGGCAGAAGAAAGAGCTTTGCCCTCAGAGCCTGTTTTTCCCTTCAGCATGGCTCTAAGAGAACCTGTGAAGACTGCCACCCCTCTCAGGGCTCCCATCTGTCTTCTCTGGATGTAAGTGCCACTCAGGACCTGTATTCTACCTATGAGCAAATCTTCAAGATGCTCGGATCTGAGGACTGAGTGAAGGAGAAGCAGCCTACACTGTCCTCACCTCTTCCCTGGACCCCATAGTTAACACAAGAATGGTACAGTTTACAAGGACTAGCCGAGGCCAGCTGACAGGGCCACCAGGCTCAGGTTCCAGACTTCTGGCTATGCCTCAGTTTCTCTATCAGTTACTGAGAAGTCACGAACACAAACAGGGTCACCTGAGAATAATCTTGAAAGTGGACATGACCAGGTTCTACCAAGAAAGACTTCATCAAAGTCCTTAGAGAGGGGACCTGCTCTTCTGTACAGGACTCAGTAACAGAGCGCTTGTCTGGCATACGTGGCCTTGGGTTTCACAAGGACAAAAATAAAAAGACAAATTTCCCAAATGACAGTGTGCCTAGGGTCTGTTTGGTAAAAAACCACAGGGAACCTGGGGCTCATTTCTAGGTCTGAGCACCTTGCTGTTCCCTAAAAGGACCAGGCAGCCAACATCTAAGATTCAAGACAAACTTTCCTATTACAGTGAGACATGGCAGATAGCCCTAGTGGAAGGCAAGCTTGGCCTTGAACTCAGAGCTTAGTTCGGTAGAGCCAGGTACAGGCCTTTGAGGACCCAGAAAACACCAGGCTAGACGTTGCTGATCAGAAAGGACCACAGGGGATGGCCCCGAGGCCGTCCTCCCTCCTAATCTCCCTGCTGTTTTCACGCTGTGTCTTTTCCTGTCCCATCTCTTCTCCTTGTTTTTCCAGAAAAGAAAGTCCAGTTCCAGCGTTCAGTTAATGGTGAGTGTCTGCCGTCTCCCAAGCACGGGTAAATGCTGGGCCTCAGACCCTTGCTCCCTCGCTCCTGCTCCCTCCTGCAGGCCGTACAGGAACCCAGGGCGGGGGAGAGCGTGCTCAGGGCATGTGTGGTATGTGTGCATTGTGTGACAATATGTGTGTTGTGTGTGTGTGTGTGTTGTTTGCGTGTTTCTGTTGACACCTCCAACTCCATGGCCCAGACCAGCAGGCCGACAGCAGATCCAAGGCCTTCCTCCAGTCAAAGGTGGATTTGAACCAAGTCCAGTCCTTGGCTTCTTGCTTTTCCCATCCCTCTGCTCAAGAACTCATCTCAGGGCTTGGTTTGTGCCGTTTGCTACTAGGGTGGGGCTAGGTTTGGCCAAAGCAGCAGACATCATGGAGGCTCCTTGAGCTGGTGCAGGCCACTCCAGCAGAGGAACCACAGCCATGCCTCTGTCTAGAGTGTGTCGGGGTGACACGGTGGCCCATGTCCCTCTTCTTCTGGTTTCATGGCTGTCTCTGTTGCGCGGTTTTTCTCCCCTCTGAAAAGCCTGCCCTCTATCACACTGGGCCTGCCTCTCTCTTCCTTCTTTCCCTGCCAGTGTGTGTTTCTCTCCCATCCTGTGGCTTCCATGGTGTCTTTCTGCTCTTCTGTACCCTCTCTTTGCAGAAAGGACCCCAAAAGCCCCTCTCAACACCCCACCTCTATCCCCAGAGAGGCCAGGGATTTCCTTGCAGGTACCCCTTTATACCAGCCCCACCTCGGCCACCTGCTTAGCTGGGTCCCCTCAGGCTGGAGGGTCTGGCAGGGTTTTTGTATGAAGCATCTGGATGGCAGAGTCTGGGAGACCACAGAGCCCAGAGAATCACCAGGCAGCCAGGCAGCCAGGCCGACAACCTAACCCAGCCCCTCCTGCCACTGGGCCCTCCTCACCGCCTCCCTCTCCTCTTTGGCAGGAATCATCTGAGAGCACCAACACCACCATTGAGGACGAAGACACCAAAGGTAGGGCCTGCTGAGCAGTCCCCTCGATGTTGTTCCTACCTACCATGCTGTGGCTGGACTTGGCTCATGATAAGGAGGACATGTTGTGGATGTGGCTTCCCCAGACAGTGCCCAGCACTGTGGGTAGACAGAAGGAACTCTCTTAACTTTAGCTTATGGGTTGATTTCACTGTCTGATCCGAGGTAATTAACATATTTAAGCATTAAATGCACAGTGATAACATGAATTTTTCCATTTGAGATAAGTCATTTTAGGTTTTGTTTTTGTCTTTTTTAACTGACATCATGTTTAAAACACGAAGCAATAGAGATAGCAGAATAGAGTACAAAAATCCAGAAAGTCTGGTCAGCTGCAGCATGCCTGTGAATTCGCAAACCAAAGGCAAAACTAAAGATGCAGGGGTTGTGTAGCTCATGGCCCAGTGGCCATCAGAAGTGCCCAGGTCAGCCAGCTGGGGCGGCACATCTGCTGTCTCTGTGCTTAAAGAGCCAAGGCTGAAGGAACATGAACTGAGGCCAACTGAGACCTGGGCTCACGATATCAGGCAGGTAAGGGAGCGAGGGGCTCCATGTGAACAGGAGCCTGGGGAAAGGAAATAGCAAGAACAGCCATCTTTGGCTCATGGATACTCACTAAACCCGGGGTTCCAGCTGGGCCAAGACACAGTGTCCAACCCGCAGTCTGAAGGCCACTTATGGCCAAGGATAGCCACGAACCACAGGAAACCATAAGGTCACTTAAAATGTGACATCCTTAAAAGCTTCATTGAATCTTAACTGTATGTGTGTGAATATTTTGCCGACGTGTGTAAGCATCCTAAGAGCATGCCGGGTGTCCTTGGAGGCCAGAAGCAGGCACTGGATTCTCTGGAAATGGAGTCATAGAGGGTTGTGAGCAGCTGGGAACTGAACCGTGGTTTTTCTGCCAGTGCTCTTAACAGCTGAGCCATCCTTCCAGCCCTAAAACATGAGGGATTTTTTTTGTTTGTTTGTTTTGCAATTTTTAAAAAAACACTTTGGGACTGTATTGCATAGTTCTTGTTTATGAACATTGCAGACTGTAACATTATTTCACAGTGTAGAAAGATTGGACCTAGACAGTGGTTCTCCATCTCCCTAATGCTGCACTCCTTTAATACAGTTCCAGTGACCCCCCCAACCATAAAATAATTCCATTGCTACTTCATAACCGTAATTTCACTACTGTTATGAACTGTAACACAAATATCTGCTATGGGACCCTGCTGGGTCGTGACCCACAAGTTGAGAACCACCAGCCTAGAGACTTTCCCACGAGCTCACAGTTTGCCCTTCCATGAACCCTCTTCTCCAGGCAAGAATACAGGGTGGAGAATTTGGGGAAACTGGCTCAAGGTGGGGTTGGGATCTGAAGCCAGGCATCTGCGTCTATGCCCTGGTGAGCAGACAATGTACTGGAGGCCTCGGAAAGGAGCAATATTCCAATTCTGTACAAGAATCAGAGCTCCTTACTGGTTAACAAAGTCCCATGGTTCCTCTGTAGCAGCACCCTGCCTCTCACATTTCCCAAGTCAGGGAAACTAGAGTACTCAGCGGTCTGCACACTGGGGAAGGTGCCAGGGAGGCCTTGAGTCAGGGGGCGGGGAGGGTTTGCTGAAATATGAAAAAGGCTCACTGGCCTGGAGGAAACTCACCTGTTCTAGTTGAGACAGTTGGTGGAGGTTTTTTTGTTTGTTTGTTTTGTTTTGTTTTTTTAAGAGTTTTGATATTTTGCTGTGAAGAAAAATATACAATGTGACTAGGATTATAGCTTGGTGGTAGAGCATTTCCGGGAGACCTAGGCTTAATCTCTAAACTGAAACAAAAACAAACAAACAAACAAACAAATGGTTGTGTTTATATGATAAGCGTTTTATAATGTTCTGGGGTGGTGGGCAGCAGAGGCTACAATGTAAATTTGTAGGTAGTTTTCACACTATGTGATTGCTTCTTGACCCTGTAGAGACCTGGGAGAAAGTGTGAGTCTGTGTCTGTCCCTTTCTGGTCATTCTCAGATTGGTGGGGGAAGCAGTCTAGAACAAGTAAATTGATGGTCTGTCATGGCTCCTTCTCTTAGGGAACTGCCTGCTGGTACCATTTATCACTCGGCCTCCTGGGTCTCTCCCTATCACATGCCTGACCCTATGCCACAGGTCACCAGGGACTAAGGCATGACGCTCCTTAGATAGTCACCGTATGGGAGACTCTCAGCCCCAGTGGGAAGAGATGGGCTCTGGGATTCTGAGGCGACTAGATTCTAGTCCTGGCCTTTGGGTAGATAGACAAGTTGGAGGTGTTTTGGCTCTGTACTCCATTGGCTGGGTAACTTTTGACAACTTGATCAACCTCTCTGAGTCTGTTTCCTTAATAATAAACAGGTTATGGTAATAGTAGCAACTATTGCAATTTCGGTGCAGATGAAATGACAGCTGCATGCGTAGTGCACACACAGCGTTTGCCATGTGGTGATTGCTTCAAGAAATCCTCATTTCTTTTTTTGTTCAAAACCGGAGTTTGTGGTTGAGTGACAGGAAGCCCCATGACATTTTCTTGGAGTGTCAATTGGATTCAAAGACTATTTTAAGACAAATATTTATATGTTAAACAGACAGAATATTTGGAATAGAATATAAAATGTGTATGCACTGGTGATGTAAAACAGGAGCTGTCAATGATATATTCCACCTGGATTGGTGACTTTGGGCTATGCCCTGAGGCCCCACATTTGCCAACAGCCTCCTCCACTTTAAAGAACCTGGGGGACAATCTGTCTCAGATTTTAATTTACTTCTCTCTTTTACAGAGGGAGGAAAGGCCCTCGTGGGTTATGGTATTACTTATTTTTCTCCATACTGTGGTTTTTAAAAAAAGGCTGTCAAGAGCAATTTTAAGGGAAGATTTGTTTTAGCCCATCGTTTGAGGGTGCCGTCCATTATGATAGGCAGCCAGGGCTGTAGGGGCATAAGGCAGCTGGAGGCGTCGACTTTGCAGGCAGTCAGCAATAGCTGAAGCACAGAGAGAGGCTGGTGCTCAGCTCACTTCTTCCCTGTCAGCCAGTCCAGGGCCCCAGGCTGCGGAATGCTGCTGCCCATGCTCAGGGTGACCCATCCTTCTTCAGGTGAATCTTTGTCACCTTCAGAGACACACTCGAGGGTGTGCTTCTGTGGTGATTCTAAATCCTGTCCATTTGACAATCGAGATTAACCATCACGGTCACTAGCTGAAGATCTGGGACCTTGTTGCCTGCCTCTACTTCCCTTCCTGCACAAAAGGCTCAGTGTGCTAGAAGCGTCTCTCTGTGAATGTAGATAAGAGCCCTTAGACTTCCCCCAGCTCACAGGATGTTCCCAGGGCACCACACTATTTTCCAGCATTAACCTGGCAAGCCTTCTTACCAAGTGAGAACTGTAGTCAGCTTGGTGGACTCTGATCCAGTGTTACGGTTAACTGGAAAAGGTATTCTCCAGAACAACACCCCTGGAGGGAAGTAAGCCCATGCATGAGTTGTTCAGAGCTCCTCTGGCTTTATACAGGGCCACTGCTCTCTGAGCTGTGCCAGGCTCTTCCGGCTTCCTCCCCATGCCCTTACCTCTGTGCACAACCTGTTCTCTCTTCAAGCTGAAGACCTTCCCCAGAAGCTGGGTAGACACTAGGAAATACTAGTCAGGAGTGCAGGCCCCAGCTGGGCCTCAACATGTGGTCTGATATTAAAATTCTCTCTCTCTCTCTCCCTCCCCTCCCCCCTTTCTTTCTTTCCAAGATAGGATTTCTCCATGTAGACCTTACTGTCCTGGAACTCCCTCTGTAGAGGAGGCTGGCCTCAAACTCAAAGAGCTCCACCTGTCTCTGCCTCCCAAATGCTTGGATTAAAGGCATATGCTATCACTGTCCAACCAAGAAATTTTCTTCATCTCTCTGGGGCCTTAGTTTTCCTGTCTGTAGGGGAATATTCCAGATGCTCTGAGTGAGGAGACTAGCTAGAGGTATACAGCAAACAGCTAAAAAGCTGCTTGCACAGCCAAAGGAGCTGATGGAGTCCTGGGAAACCCCTATCAGAGTGGTCTTGGGGTCCACCAAGCACCGGATTCCAGCCAGGTCTTCCATCCCAGAGAACAAAGCTAGGGAGATTTCTGCTCTAGTAACTTTGACTTTGGAAAAGGTGGTGTTCTGGTGTCTGAAAGCAAAGCAAAGCCAGCCCCTACCTAGCACTGAATTCATGGAGGTTCACGATGTGACCCCAGACCTAATATTTTACCATCAGACACTGTGCATCACACTCAGACACATCCAGACAGCTTAGGGAGTTTGGAAGACAGGTACACACCTTCAGTGACTCTGGAAGCCCCGTTCCTGAGAAGAGAAGCCTGGTCAGGGGAGGATGGAAACTGGGGAACAGGTGTTCATTTTGGGGTCTTAGGAAGAAGCAAGACGAACTCTTACATGGTGGAGCTTTCAGAAGCAGACTTCAGCCAGGAAGGCCCCAAGCCCAGGAGGCATTCTTATTTAGGTTTGTCTGACAGAGTGGTGGCTGCTGCAGCCCAGAACTACAGTAGGACTGTATCCTGTGACCCAGACCTCCAGGAAGCATGTGTCCCAGCTGGAACCTTGAGGCAGGGCTTAGACAAGCTTCTGCTTCCCAGTTTGCAGGTGGTAGACATGGCAGCTGTCACTCAGCGAGTGGCAGGCCTTGCTCCAAATGCTTGAGTTCAGACATCATCCCTCACACGATGAGCTGATAGTGGGTGCTTGGAACACAAGCTCTCAGGGAGGGCTGCATGTGATCGACCTTTCTACCAATATTCAGAATAACCCTACAATGTAGGTACTACTGATATCTCCATTATGGGAAAACTGAGACCAAGAGTAGCCCTTGTGGCTATGAGGTAACAGAATAAGAATCCAAGTCTAGTTAGATTGGCTTCAAACTCCAGGACCCGGACCACCACATACCTCATGATGACAGCAAGAAGCAGCAGGAGTCCAAGGAGCTGACTGTGGAAAGATGCTGGAGGGCCCCAGAGCAGAGGCAAAGGCTATGGCTCAGCTTCCACAGCCTGTCAGGAGCATGGGGGTTTGTTCTGTGTGGTCGCCTCTGATCCCACAGGGGCACGGGATCTAGTCTGTAGCCCCTACTGGCAAAGCCCACTTGTCCCATGACTAGTCTCTGCTTTTGTAAAAGCTGACCAGGAGCCCAGGTTCTGAAGCTTCTAAGAACACAAGTATCCAGGTAACATGGACAAAGATGACAGCCCAGACTCTAGTTTGGAGCTATCTGCTCATTTATTCACTCACTCCACATGTGTGAGTCAGGTACAAGTTCTACCCTAGTGGGCCCCAGAAAAAGGAGAAGAACCCCCATGATAAGTACACTCAAGCGTCTTTTATACACATTCCCAGCATAGGAGATTCCAACTCAAGTCAGGGCGAGCTGGCAGAGAGCACTGTGGGAGCTACATTTCAGCCACGTTGCTGGATCATTATTCCCTCTGCCAAGCACACACCGCACACCAAGGGCTACACCAGGTATAGATGTGGGTTGAGTGCAGTTGTGATGTGGGGTGAAGCTCTGACACTCCCCAGGCTAAGTCCCTGGCCACAGCTGTGTACATTCACTTCCTTGGTCAGTACTGTAGCCTGCAGGGCTATGCCGGTTCCAGATTTCATTAGCTGGCATTGAAGTTTAGAGGTAGGTAATGAGTTCTAAGCAGCTGTTCGGGGTTAGTCTTATGAGAATGTTGGGTGTGAACATATGGGCCAAAGCACCAGGGTCCCCTGGGCTGTGAGCCAGACTGTACCACATGTTCTATGTCCTTGGGCAAACCATGACCCTCGATGGGCCTCCGTTTCCTCAGCAGCTCAGAAAGGATTGTCCTCTGGTCTGAGATGAATGTTTGAGGCAGCCTAGGCAGCTGGCAAGAAAAAAGGCAAGTCAGAGTCTCACCCCCACTCCACTCCACTCCTCACCTGATTCCTGGGACGGGAGATGTTGAGACCCGCTGAGCCCACTTCCTGGGTTTGGAAGAGAGCTGCATCTGAAAGGAAGAGGGGGAGAGAGCCTGCCCTGGACTAACTAAGGCAGCTTCTGTTCTGCTCCGCCGGGGCCCAGGATACCTGATGAAGATGCCTTCATTACTGAGGACCAGGCATCTCCTGTGTTGCCTAACTGCTGGGGATGGGAGGTCTGGGGTCTGGGAGGAGCTCGGAAGGCAAGCTTAAGTGGGGGCTGCCGGCAATGGCACTGCTTGTCATGAGCACCTGAGATGGGCCAGGCTTGGGGACACTGCTTCATGTTCATCACATTGTCCCACCCTCAGACCAGCTCTGGAGGAGGACACTTTTCTGACAAGCAGTCAGTCTTGTGGTCCTCAGTTCCACAGCTCATAAAGGCCCAGATTGGAATTTGGATGATGAACTGTCTGGAAATGCAAGCCTGAGTTCTTTGTGCTATTGTCTAGGTCTGAGTGAATCTCCTTCCAGGGTTGGGGGTGCTGAGGCTCAGACCACTATACATCTAATAAGGAGACTGACAACTCTCTACCAAATAACAAATCAGCTTCTTGTGTTTCCTTTCTGTGGCAGAAGGGAGAAAGCAGTTGACCCTAGGTAGTTCTAGACAATTCTGCCTGAATCTTAGCCACCCAAATAGAGCAAAAACTACCCAGAGAGTAAGGGATGACTTACTTTCCTTCGTGGTCCCTTGTTTATGCCCATGGGGAAGCCCTGGTTTGTGACAGCCAGTAAATCAGGCAACATGTAGCATTGCTTTGATTCACGTAGCAAATCAAGAAGAATGGCAGAGACACCTATTTTGGAGTCAAAACCTGGGCTCAAACAAGACCTAGAATATGAATGTCCACCATCTTTACCTTTTGTAGCTCGGGGGACCACATTCCCACCTCCCACCCCACACTGAGCCTCAGTCTCTTGTGTGAAACGGGGCTAATGATCTTTCTCTCTCAGGAACAACGGTCATCTGCGCACAATAACAGGGTCCCCGCAGAGCCCGCCTGGCACATGCTGCGGACTCGGAAGCCAGTATTTGCTACTTCATGACTGTCACTGTCGTTATTTGTGTCCCCTCCTACTTTACAGTGCGCAAACAGGAAATTATCAAAGTGACAGAGCAGCTGATCGAAGCCATAAGCAATGGAGACTTTGAATCCTACACGTGAGTTAGCCAGAGTCGTTCTGCATGTTCTGCCTGGATTGGGTTCAAGGGCGCTAATTGTGGGCTTCTGAGCCTACTCACTCATTCTCTGCATGCAAATGAGATGGAGCCCCTGTCTTTTCTGTTCCGCACTCGGCCCCGGAGCAGATCACGTCACTTCCTGTCACTCTTCCTGCCTGCCTGAGTCCAGGAGGAGCTCCGAGTAAAGCTGCTTTGTTTCTTCCCAAGAAATAAGGGTGATCTGTACCCTAGCACGGGGACGGAGGGAATGGAGGTCGGTCCTTCTCCATCCTGCCCAATGGGTCTGAGTCTTTACCCTGGATTTCCACAGGTCTTTGACCTCAGCTGAGCAGGAGCAAGCAAGGACCCAGAGAGTGTACACCTTTAGTGATCAAGATGAGCAAGCAAAGTCGAACCTTAAACCCTCTGGGGAATAAGGCACTGTCTCAAACAGAATTATCCTCTGCTCACAAACCTGCTCCAGCCCCTAGAGGGATGGCTGTGTGCATAAGTCAGGCTTCAGCGCCCCCTAGTGGTCATCACAGACTTACCTGGTCTGGTCCAGAAGTAAATCCTCAGCCTGGCTCGGAGAATGGATGTGCTGGATTTAGGCCTATGCATTTTTACCAGGAGAATGGATGTGCTGGATTTAGGCCTATGCATTTTTACCAGGGCTAAATATGGTCTGGACCTGGCAGTTCCACACATGCTTTTTGGTAGCCTGTGGGGTTAATGTGAGGTGGGAACAGCTTGACTGACATGATCTCAGGCTGACTGAAGCTGTAATGTACATACTAATCACGGGAACTGAATTCAGGCATTGGAAAATCACTGGCTGTCTCTGGAGGAATCAGGTATTTGAGAGAAACACGAGGATGCATGGGTGTGTGTACCAGAGGATATTATGGTGTTGCATCAAAGCCTGGGAGCCGACTCTGCACCAGTCTTTTGGGTAGCCTTAGAAAAGCTAAGTCACAATGTATCAAGGCCATGACTCTGAAAAGCGATAGCCAGGGAGCAAAGAGCTAATGAGGTGGCCTTTCTTGCTGTCACAGGGAAACTTTCCCAACCTCTGTAATGTTATAGGCTGTGATGATATTTTGCAGCCTGCTCTAGGCTCTGAAACTTACCATGGCCTCTGGGCCTGTGGCGCCCTGGAATTTAACCTGGCATGCCCATGAATTAGCCCCTTCATCTCCTTGATCCCCAGTTTCTACATATGCATGATGCACTTAGAGAAGGTAGACTTCAGGTCCTTCAAGGATGCAAAGGCCCCTGACAACCCCTTAAGGAAGTTCTACAGCAGGAGTGCACTTGAGGTATCATCAAAGGCTTTGCCTATCTCAGACAAGGCTGGGCCTGATGTCCTATTGTGAGATTTCCAGTTCTAGTCTGAAGCAGAAGCTTAGCCTGTGTGGGGACATTTCCTGTCCCTGTCTTTGCCATGGCCACAGGAGTTTATATTGTACCATAAAGTATCCTCCAAGTGTGTAAATGGGAGGCCTATCTGTGTTCTCCCCTGCCTCGAAGTCACCTCAGAAGACTGACACCTGGGAGAGGGGCAGTCACCTGAAAACACAAGCCTCCTTTGGCTGAGGCCCTCTCCTGCCACATTCTCTCCTTCTTCTCTGACGTCAGCTTCCTAAAACTTCATTGTTTTATGTGGATGGGTGTTTTGCCTGCGTGTTTGTCTGTCTACCACCTGTGTGTCTGGCGCCTGTGAAGGCCAGAAGAGGGCCTGGAGTTGCAGATGGTTGTGAACCACTATGAACCTAGGTCCTCTGGAAAAAGCAACCGGTGCTTGTGACTGCTAAGCCATCTCTCCAGCCTCACGGAACTCATCTTCTTTAAGGCCCCTTTTCCTCGTTTAAAGCAGAAGCAGCAGTCAGGGTGTCCCAGCCTTAGGACACTTCTGTTCAAGTTAGTAAAAACGCACCTTCCTCTGTGTGCACACTTGGTTTGGGGAGCTGAGGTCACTTCGTGTAAAGTGACTTCACTCTTATACTCCAAGAGACAAATTAGGAAAAGCGCCTTTGTCACTGCCAGAGACAGGATGCAGTGTAGAGAATAAGGACAGGCTGCACAAAGTGATGCCTTGCCTTCTGCAAGGGCTCTAGAGGTAAAACAATGACAACCTGGTCATCAGTGAGCAGCACAGCCAGGGCCCGAGCGTGGGCTTCCTGGATGTAGCCAGTGCCTACCTTGTGCTCCACCAAGTGTTCCACACTTGATCAAGTTCCCTCGAGGATGGTGTGGTCATTTCCCTTCACCCTCTAAGGGGCCAATGAGATGCTGCCTTCTCAGATCCCTCTTTCCTCTGGCTTCCTTCCCCCCAGGAAGATGTGCGACCCTGGAATGACAGCCTTTGAACCGGAGGCCCTGGGGAACCTGGTGGAGGGCCTGGACTTTCATCGATTCTATTTTGAAAACCGTGAGCAATCCCTTCTCTCTGGGGTGCCTGTTGTCTGCTCTCCTTCGTGTCCTGCTGGATGGCACAGCAGGGTGACGGGCAGGGCCTCAGGGGCGGCTCAGGAGCCAGTGAAGAGGAAGATCCAATGTGGACAGGGGTTGGTACCTTCCTGGTTTCCTCTCCATTCACTGCCAGCTGGACTACCAGCTGCTCTTCCTGTGGCTGAGGATGGGGTGAAGCAGGGGTGGGTCCCCCAAAACCAAGGACACATGAAAAGACTCCTAGTCCTCTCCTGCCCTTTATCTGGGGAGAGTTATGTGGAGGGTCTTTATTCCCACTTATATTCAGGGAGCCTTCTCTAACTCACACTGCAAGGTACAGTCATCTGGATGCTTGGGGCCATCACAGATGCCCAGTCAGTCAGTAACATGATGGCTCCTGGGTTATGCTGCATATGACTTTATAGGTAGGGTGAGCCAGGGATTTCACACTGCTGTGCCCTACCTGTTTGTCTAGGTCTCTGTCCTGCATGTGTGTCCTTCTGGGCCTCTCCTCTGCAGGAGAGATCTCAGCAGCTTCGCAACCAGGGTGGGCTGGACACTGAGGCTGGGCCTGAGCCAATGAGCTTTCTGCTTGTCTGTGTCTTACCCAGGCCAGGGGTCAGAGAGGGACCAAGCCAAGGTTAGGATATGGAGAAAAGACCAGAGGCAGTATATCCAGTCTCCCCCTAAATGACAGGTATATATCACGTGGGTATTTTTAGGAATACATAGCATTGGCTCAAACAACAAAAAAGCCCTTCCTGGTCAGTTCTCATCGAGTGCCCAGGCGGAGAAAGGCTCAGTCCACACCTCTCTGACACATCCCAGCTCCCCACTTTCTCAAAGGCTTGCAGGGGCTCAGATGAGCTTGGGGCAAGAACAACCTATTTTCTCTTCACTGGGCTTTACTGTCCCATGTTTATTCTGTACCAAATCCAGATTAGTGGCTGTGCTAATCATCCACTAGTGGTTGTGCTACAAAGTTTTCTTTAAAAGAATCACACATTAGGGCTGGAGAGATGGCTCAGAGATTAGGAGTGTGTACTCTCTCGGAAGAGCTGAGTTCAGTCTCCACTGCCCATGTCATGGCATAACTGCCTGTGTCGCCAGCTCTGAAAAACCTTAAAAATAAACATATTACGAAGCTAACCAGGAGAATTGTCTCAGGAAGTAAGCGCAGACAGCAATCCCATATGGATTTAAAAATCAAAACACACAGGTCCAAAGACTCCAGGTGAAGCCCAGCCCCATCACTCAGAAGACATTTCCACTGTGGCTAAGTGGGGCATGATTTGTCCAAGAGAATCCACAAAGCACGTTGTAGACCTTGCTCTGTCTTATTCTGGTGCCTTTCCTTTGCTGATAGGGCCATTCTGTATAGCAGCAAGTTCCCAGCCTCTGGACTTGCATCACCCCTCCAGGCTTGTACCCCTCTGACTGTATTTTAATTTACAGAGATTGCAAGCATTCCCTCTTTATAAAAAAGGAGTTAAGGGAGAAGCTATATTCTCTTCTTTCTTTCTTCCTTCCTTTCTTTCTTAAGATTTATATATTTATTTTATGTATGTGAGTACACTGTCACTGTCTTCAGACACATCAGAAGAGGGCATCGGATCCCATTACAGATGGTCGTGAGCCACCACGGGTCTGCTGGGAATTGAACTCAGGACCTCTGGAAGAGCAGTCAGTGCTCTTAACCGCTGAGCCATCTCTCCAGTCCCAGAAGCTATATTTTCTTAAAGAATCAGACCTGATCTTCCTCGCTGAGTGTGGAGTCATACTGCTATTAAGAGAGGAAGCTGGATCTTGGGTCCTCTTACCCTAATGGCAGATCCCCACAGATGGGATCACCGTGGCTGTCATTACGCTTCTGTCCTCTGGGGGCACTGTTTCTCTGCTGCAGTCCTCTAGTCTCCACCCTGGCAGAGACCACGGGGTGGGGGGTGGGGGGGGGTGTTTCAAATGCAGAAAGAGGCTCCTGTTTCTGGCCTGCTTCCTGCAGCAAGTGTTGTCTTAGCACTGGCTCCTAGACTCTAGGCTTAACCTTTTAGTTGCTTCTAAGGAGGACTCACAGGGGCATGACCCCGTATAGCCTCTTCTCTCCTGCAGGGCTACCTCCTACTGTCTGCTCTTTCCTGCCCAGCACCTGGCCCTGTCTCTCTTCTTGTCCATGAGAAGGAGATATCCTGGAAGCTGCTAATCTGGTCAAGTGACACCTTGTTATGTCAGGGTTCCTGGGATCCCAGCCATGAACAATAATGACAAAGCTTAGCCCCCAAAACTACTATTGCTAAACTATTTGTCCCTTCTGGAATGGATTGGGACCTGGATTGTCCTAAACTACACACTCTGAGCCTGACTTCTGCATTTCTTCCAGAGATTGATAGCTCAGACTAAGTGAGACGGATCCACTCCCTCCAGCCTCATGTACCATATTCAGGGACATTTAGGGAGGCCTCACGCACTTTGGAAAGGGGAAGCTTGGTGACCTTTAACCTCTAAGATTACTCTAGTGACCTACATTCTCTGTGTCTGAGAGCTCAGAATTCTGAGCCTGTTATTCTGTTTATCTGAGACTGGCACTTGACTGCTGGTTGAAGGCCTGGGCACACAATGATTACGATACCAGAGGGTGGCTGCCGTTAGGTGCTTCTTCAGTCTGGGGGGTGGATAGCTTACATTTTTTTTTAGGAGATACGTAATTTGCAAATTTTGTTGGATAATAGAATAAGAATGTGCGGGTGGGGAAGAAAGACTAGTGTCACAGGGTCTCAAACCAGGGTGTCTTGGGTACGGTTGGAGACTCCACATTTGATGCTAGCTGTCCACGCAGTTGGCACCCATATTTGGGCTACATTAGGAGAAGGGTTCTTGTCAGAGTGGGAGCCTCTTGACGTCTGTCTGACCCTGGGTCACTGTCCTTCTGTGCTTTTGTTTTACATCTTGATGAACAACGTGATAGTTTCTAGAATACTATGGTGATGTTGAAAATGGAAGTAGGAACCAGTACCAGGCACTTCAGTTAGTTGTCATGACAACAAGATCTTCCCGTGTCTCTCTAGCCCTAGAGAGCTCTATGACCTCACTTCATTGATGATCAATATAACCCCTAAAACTGAAGGTTCGAAGACTCTGCAATTCTGTCCCCCGTTTATATAATTCAGTAGACCCGCAATAGAGTTGATAAACACAGGACGGAGAGTGTCTCGATTACAGACATCTCTTGTGGTTTTGCAAGCTGTGTTACAATTGAATGATATAACAGTAGATAAAAGTGAAGGCTTTTCATATGAAAATCCAAGAGAGATTTCCAGATTCTCTTGAGCAATAAGGTGTGAAACACATGGAAACCCCCCCTCCCCAGGAGCTCTGGGCAAGGTGCCTTGTAGGTGGGACACGTGTTCTTTTCACCATAGTCCCCCTCACTCCCTGCTGTCTCCCTGACCCAGAGGTAGAGGCTCAGTTGCCATTTGGCATTTTTTGTTTGGTTCCTCGAGATGGTTTCTCTGTGTAGCCCTGGCTGTCCTGGAACTTGATCTGTAAACCAGGCTATCCTTAGACTCACAGAGACCCACCTGTCTCTTCCTCCTGAACACTGTGATTAAAGGCATGCACCGTTACCACTAGTTGGCGTCTAGTCTCTTATACCCAGCTCATCCTCTATCCTAACTGCTGGCCTGATCCCAGTAGGGATCTGTGTTCAAGAAAAATCAACCTTATCTGGCTCAGTAAGTTGTCTGGAATCATGTTTTTGTATGTACAAGACACTGATTCTAAAATCCCCCCATGTTTGAACAATTTGGCATGTCCGAAGTCCACTGTACCTTATCTGGGATGTGGTATCCTGATATCTAGTTTATGTAGTTATTCTGCCTTGACTCTCGGGTAGCTGATCTCTGTCCCAGAGATTCCCCTGCTGCAAACGAGTCAGATAAACTCAGTCTCCCTTGAAGGGGAAGCTGGAAGCTGAGCAAGCAATGGAATGAGGCAGGAGTTCCCCCCCAGGGTTGCAACTCCTCAGCCCCTCCTGTTCCTGCCTCTAGTGTGGTCCCGGAACAGCAAGCCCGTGCACACCACTATCCTGAACCCTCACATCCACCTGATGGGTGACGAATCAGCCTGCATCGCCTACATCCGCATCACTCAGTACCTGGATGCAGGCGGCATCCCCCGCACCGCCCAGTCAGAGGAGACCCGTGTCTGGCACCGCAGGGATGGCAAATGGCAGATCGTCCACTTCCACAGATCTGGGGCGCCCTCCGTCCTGCCCCAGTAAGGATTCTTTCTTCCTGAATCTCTAGGGTGGATTGAGGGTATTGACATAGTAGAGGGGCATGGTGGGGCACAGAGGAGGGGGGAGCAGGCTGCTGCTGCCTTTCACCTCCAAATTGTTCCAGAGAGGGTGAAAGACTAGAGCTGGGGGAGAACTGGGTGGAAATCCTGGGAGGCAGCACTGATCCTGTCTAAGGTGGTGGGTTTACTATGTCTTACAGTTGAAGGACCAGGCCAGGGTCCCTGCGTTCTTGCTTCGCAGAGATCCACTCTTTGTCCATGGAATATGGCTGCTGGTTCTCCGTTGGATTTTGCTGGAATTCTCCCTGTCATATCACCCTACCGTTGCCACCTCTGTACTTGCATCATGAAAACCTGCTTGTTCACAGAAGCCCCCACGACATCACAGAGAATGGCCAGCTCTCCCCGGCTCCACTGCCCACGCTCTTCCTGCCTATGGGGACCTTCTTCAGGCTTGAGTACCCAGGGTGCTGGCCCCAGGAACCCCCAATCCCCTACCCACTGTTGTTGGCTTGGCCTAGCTTTGGCTATAAAGGAGGAGGCCCCAACTGTGCGTTTGGCAGGAAGTGAGAAAGAGGCAGGCAAGTCGTGCCGAGGACCCCTCTCGTCAATCCCTTCTGGGGTCCCCCAGGGAAGCACAGATGAGCCCCTCAGTCTCCAAGCCAACTCCTTATGAAGGAGATGGAGAGAGGAGCCAACATGAGGACCTGCTGCTCTCATCTGCTCCCCTCTGTGCCGGCCTTGCTTTTGACCAGACCATCCGTCACCGGGGAGGGGGTGGGCTCTACCGTCAGGTGCCCCACTCACCGCCTCAGCCCTTCTTCGAAGTTTGTCTCCAGTGTTGACCCGCCCACCCTGCCCGCAGCGTCCGTCCTTGGAGAATTCCAGCCTCATCTGTCTGAGTGGAGATCTGAAGGTGTTCCAGGGGCAAAGCAAGCAACGTTTAGGTTTCACTTCTTCTTGGACGCATGCCTTTTTACAGCCAAACTTCTGTGTATTTCGTAAACGGATTTTGCGTTAATGGACATTTATGTGATAACTAGACTTCTGACGTCACTGTAAAGAAGAGTCAGATGGGTTGGGAAGCAGGTGGGAAGAGGAGTGAGGGGAAGTTTTTACCCTGTTCCAGATTTTTTTTTTGTGTGGGGGGGGAGAGTCTTTCTGAGGTGGCCCTACCCCCTAGGGAGCGCTGCTTCCTTCCATTCTGGTCCCCAAGGTCAGCTGACAAGATTTCTTCCAAAGCCAGCATGACTAACACATAGAGTCAGGTCAGGGGAGGCCATCAGGATGGGAACATCCAGACTTGGCATCTCTGGAACTAGAGACCTCACTACCCTACTTCCCAGGAAATCTTTCCCCTTATCTTTGTGCTCCCCCTCCCCAGCCCAGCCCCACACACTACCTTCTGGGCACGTTATCCTCATTGCCTCTCTCAACTTGGCCAAACAAGAGTGGCAGAAACTTATTTTCCTACTTCATGCTATATTTGGGCTGGTGTGTGCTCTATTGCACTTGCCTGCTTGCCCAGCCTCCCCCTATCCTCTCCCCCCCCACTTCTTCTCTCTCCCCTCTCCCTCCCTTTCTCTTTCTCTTCCTCTCTCTTCTTCCTGGGTTTGGCTCTTATATGGAATGCTGTGTCTCATCCACGGGGATCTCCTGTCTGCACTGTTTTCTTTGCATGACTTTATATGCAGTAAGTATGTTGAAAAAAAAAACAAAAAAGAAGAAAAACACTCAGCAAAATCAAACAACACATTTTGGACAAAATAATAATAATAACACTCGAGGCTATAGTCTCAGTGTCCAACTTGGAATTATGTTGCTGCCTCTCCGTGCTTTTGGTCTCTGTGTGGCTGTGTTTTGCCAGCATGAGACCCTGTCCTTCTGGAGGTTTCTAGGGGAGGAAGAGCCATGTGTCCTGGGGGTTGGAGACAGCTTTAGCCTCTTGGCTTTTCTGAGGGTCGATTGGAGGAGAAGTGGAAGGGATGTTTAATCCAGAACTTTCTGGAATTCCCCTTCCCCCTACATAGTGAGCTATATGCTGGGCTCTTCTCTCAAATCCCGCTGCCCAGAGACAAGTACAGGGTAGAAGAGTGGCTCTCTTGTCTAAACCACTCCACTATAGCCTCTGCCCTTGGTAGAGACACTGCTACCCAGGCCCAAGAATGGGCCCTTGTCCTGCCCCAGAACGAGGCTTCTTCATAAGGCTCAGCAAACCCATTGTCCCCAGCCAGTCCCCAGCTACAGGAGGGTGTGGCCTTTATCAAGGGACACGGCAATTACCAAGCAAGATCTAATCCCTTCTTCAAGCCTCAGTTTCTCCATCAATGTCCCAATGTCGATGGAGGGTCAAACTAAATGATGTCACAAGCGCACACCACCTCTGAGAGCTTGCTGGGTTTGTCACTGGCTGGCCTTCTTATGCACCAGGCCTGGCCAACCCCCATCCTTTCCCCTGTGTGCCCCTCATTTTCCTATTTGATGCCAGTCTGTTGATGACCAGCAATGGACTGCAGGGGAAAGAAGTGTCTGGGGGCTTTGGTGGGCTTTGATCCCAGGTTCTGACCAGATGGGCTGTGTGGCTTTGGGTGAGTCCTTTTCCCTCTTCCTGCCTTAGTTTCCCCAACCAGAAGACGCCTATGCCCTGCCTTCTGTTGGCTAACATGCCCCTGTCCACTGTGTGCTTGTCCACATGTGGGAAAAGTGGAGGCAGGTCCCTGCCCCAGTTTGAGACGGCCCCCTCTGCAGAGGCCACTCCTGTGGGTGGGCAGCCAACTAATGTAGACCTTGGGACACTACAATGGCCCCAAGGTGGCAGGCAGGGGAACTGGCAGAAAAACTGCCCAGAGCCTACCCTCATCAGACAAGCTCTATGCTCCTTCCAAATACCCTCCAGATGAAAAGAAAAAAAAAAAGAAAGAGAAACAATCAAGTCACATTTATAGGAAAAGCATCTCCAGCCTTATGTGCCATCGCTCAAATCCTGCCCCATGGCTTCCCTGCCCCCTTCAAAGGGAGAGCCTTGGGGGAATGCATTTGCCAGGCCCCGTGCTGGCTTCTTTGTTACTATTTGTTTAGGTTTTTGTTCTAGTTCTCTCTCTTTCTCTCTCTCTCTCTCTCTTTCTTTCTTTTTTAATAAGTGGCTGTGAACTTGAATGACCACTGCTCAAACTTTCTGCTACTGGGGGGTAGGGTGGGGGAGGGGAGAAGAGATGTCTGTTTTATTCTTGGTGTTTTCAGTGGAATAAATAGCTACAAATTTATATGAGTTCGTGTATTCCTGAATTGGTCAAGGCACAGAGTCCAGGAGCTGGCATTTTTGTTTTGTTTTGGTATTTGGTTATTTTATTTTATTTTTTTGTTCCAAATCTCCCCTATTGCAAATAAAAGTCCCAGTCTTATGGATTGGAATAACTTGGTTCACATGCTTAAGGCTGAGCCAGTCGTGAGATTGTCTGGACCACACGCTTGCACCCTTAGGGCCAAGGATGGAGTCTGCTTTTTTTTTTCAGGCATTTGGGGTACCCTTAACAAGAATTGTTGGGGAGGGGTGGATTGCCACAAGCAACCATGAACTCAAGTCTCTCTGAGAGGCCTTCAGGGTCTGTTAGGGTCTCAGTTTCCCTTTGGACAATGAGAAGGGTTCTCCAGAAGAGGCCCCTCCTCCCCATTCTCTTCCTTAAGCACGGCCTCAATGATAGGCCGCAGGCTTCAGAGTCCCAGCAGAACCATGTGATATTGAAATAAGGGAGAAGAGGACTCCAGACTATGAATGAGCGACTCTAGAGCCTGGGGAGGAGCACTGGGCTTAAACAGCAGGACACCACTGAGCACTCCACAGGACACGGGGGTTTCTCTGTGCCCCTCTAGGCCAACAGGACTGATGAGTCAGTGCAGCAGTGTTGTCCCCAACCCCCTGGCACAGTAGAGACCAGTAAACTCATCTGGTTTGCCAAGACTTGCCCAGATGTTGACCTGAGATTTTTGGTGCTAATTCTAGGACAGTCAGCCGGGCAATGGTGGTGCATGCCTTTCATCCCAGTACTTGGGAGGCAGAGGCAGATGGATCACTGAGTTTCAGGGCAGCCTGATGTGCAGAGCAAGTTCTAGGATAGCCAGGACTACACAGAGAAACCCTGTCTCCAAAAAAAACCAAACCAAAGAAATTAGGACTGTCTCAGGCAAAGCAGATGAGTCAGCCATCCTAAGACAGGACTCCTCCTTCCCAAAAGGCCTGGATTTCGTGGGACCAAGGGGATTGTCCATTGACATGTCCATTTCCTCTTAAACTGTAGTTCTTGTGCTGGTATCCCAGAGTCCCTAGACCAACTGCGTTTCAGAGCTGTCCTTATTGATGGTATACGGGATAGTCAAATGGAGGGTCTAAGAGGAGTGTTCCCCTTGCACATATCTAAGAATCTTCACAGTGAGAGTACAGGCCACGGTTCACTAGAACATGAGAGCACAAAAATATTGTCTCAGCTCTGCATTCCTAGCCCCAGGCACCTGGGCAGTATACAGGGGCTTGAGAGCGTGTTTAGGCTGCCATTGCAGAGTCTTACCAGCAGGTGGCAGAACATGCGTGGGTTACAGGTGTGCATCTTGGTAGAGTCCGTGCAGATCTAGTTGATCTCAGGAAGGCATTTGAATTTTCAAAGCGTATCACCTCAGATTAGAACCGTGTTTTTAAATCTCACAAGAGCACGCTGTGCTGCAGTTCACAGTTTATCCATGCCACTTGCCCCAGTCACAACAGTTTGGGGGAGCAAGGAAGACAGCGGGACGCAGAAGGTTGCTTTGGAACCCTGAGACAAGACTCACCAGACCTTTCTGACTTTTAGGTTCTTGAGGGGCCCCAATTCTCAGCTTTTCCGACTCTGTGTTAGCAAACAGTGAGCGAGCATTTTAGCTGATCCTCACCTTTTGAGCCTCGGTCCGTTTTCAGCTGCATCTTTACTGCTTACTTGCGTAGTTTCTACACACTTGCTTAGGTCCCAGACTCCCACAATGCCCTCCTCCTACCCCACCACGTCCCTCACAGGCAGGCAAGGCAGCGAGTAGGCAAGGCAGCGAGTCCCCACGCAGGACACCTGGGGCAGGCATTGACACTCTTGAAATGAAGCTAACCCTGGCAAGCACGTTGCTGGGAATAAAGAGACATGGACATGATACAAGCAGATCCATCATTCCGACAACCTGCAACAGCAGCGGCCGTCACTTACTGGGTACTGACCAAGTCCACATGTGTCCCATCTCCTTTTCTTGAATGCCTGCAATTCTCAGTACAGTCCTGTGATAGGCCACACAGGAATAAGGTGACTGTGTGACTAAAGGGTAAAGGAAGCGGCCCAATTTGGGGTGTGTGTGTGTGCGAGGGGCACTGGGAAAGGCGTGGGGTGTGGGGATGCACAGGCACATTGAGTTGGACTATGAACTACAGTAAATGCTGACTTTTCTGGGCTATACTGAAATCAGGTTGAGGTCTAAGAAGACTTAAAAATGAGCTAGAAATATTTTCTGTCTTCTGGGAATTCCTGACACTATGTCAGACCACAAGAGCCAAGAACCCAGGACCTGGTGGGTGGAGGCTGGACCTGGAGCTGGAGGAAAGAGGAGGTGTGTGACTTGGGGGCTTGGGCGGCTGTATGAAAACACTTAACAGGTGGGTAGGGGAGGAAGTCTAGAAACAAGGCCGCAGCTGACCACCTAGAAGCTTTCGAGTGTGGGATGTAGGCTTAGGAGGAGGTTGTGGGGAGGTCAGGGGAGCCCTGAATCTACTGCATGCTTGTGCCGTTCCAGGACTTGGTTGGTCCTCAGCAGTGGAAATGGATGTCCCAGGCCTGGGTTGTAAATCCTTCAGAAAACACCCCCTAGTAGTTTCTGGGAATGTTCACTCAGGGAGAGGTAGAACAGGTATCAATCCCATGTGAATGGCCCCTCTTCTTATTCTTCCGAAGTTCCCTCACCCAGAGTACCAAAACCCCAGAGGCCTCAGGGAAGTCTAGCCCAGACACCTCACTTCCCAGGCCCAGGTGGAGGGAGGTAGAGGGAGACGACCCTATCACTCAAGAGAAAAGGGATAAGCCCATTGTCCTCTCCTAGAATGATCTTGGTGAGTCATAGCCCCTCTCTGGACCATTGTTTCCTCATTATAAGAATGACCTCAAACTTCTGGTTCAAAAACGTGGGGCTAGGGTTGGCTGCTGCAGATTCGCTCGCAGAACCCACTAGATGGAAATATGTACCAGGTCCTACTCTCGGGGAGTAAGATCTCTTAGGCTGCTGGGAGCCTGGGCAGCTGTGGTTTCTTTTTACAAGTATCCTCTGGGGTTAGGGGATCTGCACCAATTCCCCACCCAGGCTCCAAAGCTGGGCTGGGTGCCCTAAGATGCTGTTACAGGAAGGTCTACCCAAGGCCTCCCCATTCATCTCCTCTGACTCCCCGGCTAAGAAGGATTCTGATGATAGGGTCCTCCCTGCCTCAGGTTCTTGAGCCCCAAACCTCTTTAGGACCCTGACTGTAGTCGGTAGAACAGAGATCAAGGCAGAGCTTGGACTCAGGTTTTTTGTTTGTTTGTTTTTCCTGTCTTTTGAGGGATGACCTCATGTACCCCAGCTTGTCCCAAGCTTCAGATCTTCCTGCCTCTAACTTCCTGAGTGCTAGGATTACAAGCATGTGCCACCAGACTTCGTTTTATTGTGCTATGGTTTGAATTCAGGGCCTTACAAAAAGCTGGGCAAGTACCTTACCTATGGAACTAGTGTACTCCAGTGCTGATCTGGCAGGGTTACTCTGTCCAGTTCACTTTGGAAAACCATCGGGCCTCCTAAGCACTCAGCCTGACCTGGGGAAGGGAGGATACTTCCTTCCCACAGAGCAAAACCATCTCTGGAGAAGGAAGTCCAGAGATCTTTCCTCCCCAGACCCACAGCTTCCCAAGTCCACAGCAATGGTGTTCAGCAGAAGGCCTGTGGGAGTGGATGGGGGCAGCCACTTCCTATAGTTAACAGCTCCCCCATCAGGTACCTTGGTGGGGAGCCCGTGATGCTTATTTAGCCCACTTTACAGATGAGAACACAAAGGCCTGGCCTCTGAGGAGTGTTGTCACAGTGCTGATGAGTCCTTGGCCTGATGACAGTTTGTCTCAGACTCCAGACATGTGTGACCCCTGACCTTTTCCTCCCCAGGCTGACTAGAGGTAGAAGCTGAGACTGTCTATTGCCTGCATAATCTTACCTGACAGGTCTCTATATATTCAGTCTTGTGTTAGGCTCTTTCATGATCTTTTTCTTTTTATTTTTTCAAGTGTGGTCTTGAGACTTAACAGTATCTCAATTTCTTGCAAAAGGAAAGTAGCACTCTCCATTTTACAGTGAAGGGGATTGGGGTTTGCAGACATGAAGAAGCAGATTCTCAGGATTGTGGGGCCATGTGACCACGTGGCTCTCTCTGCCTTGGCTCCTACTTAGGGTAATTCCCCAGAGGTTGCAGCTCTCACAGATGCTGTGGTCATTAATGGGAAAAAGGCTTTCTTTCCGCCCAGCAAAAACCCAAGCCTGGTTGAGGGTGTTGGGAGGAGGCCTTCCTGTGGAGCAGGGCAGAGGAGGCAGACTGCTGCCTGGTCCCTTGGAGAGAAGTGGGCTTATAGGAAGTCAGACAGAGACAGAGCAGAGGGATGCAGGCCAAGGCCATGCTGTGGGCAGACATCCCTGGACGCCTTTCCAGGGCAAGACCAGTGTCATTGAGAGCTCAAGCCCTGGAGGAAAAGGCTTGAAGCTAACAAAGCCAAATTTTCCATGAGGCACTGGCAAAAAATGAGCGTTTGAGACAGCACGCCACAATCCCGTAAGCGAATAACGCAGGAGCCCATAGTACTCCCGGGGGCCTGCAGCCCTCTCATCTCGTGATGGCTGCCCCCACAGCCACCAGAGACCCGTGCAGGGCTGTGAAAGATCAGAGACGCTCAGGGTTGGTCCCAGAGAACTGGGGTAGGGCCTTCAATCAACAGATGTTTGCCCTGGCCTGTGCTGGAGCCTCGTAGCATCTCCCCCACTCCTCAGCCCTACCGAGGTTGCTGCTGAAGAATTGTGGCAACCCCATTACAGGGGAAGAGCCTAAAACTTGGAGAAGCATAGTGACCTCCTCTGATCACATGGTTTGGGCAGAGCTGAGAACAGGCCAAGCCTGTGGCTGAGCAGCTGGAGCCCTCTGCATAGCACCCGGCCACATCCTAAAGTGCTCTGAGGTGCAAGGAGTATGAGACAAGAATCTCAGTGGCCTAGAAATAGAATTCGTTGTCTCAGAAGGACATGAGTTCCACGGACATAAAGGCTTGGCTGTCTGGACTCACCAGATGTGGGGCTGAGTCAGACTCGGGAGTCACATGCTGCTGGGAGTTGAGGAAAGCTCGTGGAGGGGGTTGGCTAGGATTCAGATGGCACAGGGTCAGGATGGAAGGCATGATCTAAGCAGAGGATACCCCGGGTCTGCGTGGGCACAGATGAATTTGCTGGCTTAGTAGATGGCAGCAGGAGTGGGTGGGGCCTATTGAGGACCTGCTAAGGTAACAAGTATCACACACACACACACACACACACACACTGCTAGTGTTAGGAATATGGCTAGTTTTAACTGGAGTGAGGAAGAGACCTATGCCCCTCCTCAACCAGGTTGCCATCCAGAGAGCATAAACTAGAAGCAACTGTAGGGAGTGAGGTGCTTCGCCTCAACCGTCCCCAGTATCCAGGAGGACACTTGCTCTAACAAGTTCTGGGGCAGAAGTGCAGGGCCCCGTGGCATCGTCTACCAATCCCTGCTAGACAGACATGCTGCCTCTTTGTGCTCCCCATTAACTTCCCAAGTTCAGAGATACACGGGTGCAGAGGTCAGCTGAGGCTAGAAGCAGATGACCCAGTGGGAATGGAAGGACTAGGCCTGGCCTGGCTCAAGCATGCTCCCGAGAGACTAGGACAAGTGCTGTCCTTTGAGATGCTCAGCCCTGAGTCTGCAGGGCTGACAACCTGCACCCAAAATCCATACTACTAGCTACTCTTAGGAAGCTAGGACATGCTGCAACCAGGCTGTCTTCTGAAACAGAGCATCCCCTGATAGACAGGCTTAGTTTTCCACTTCAATACTCCAGTCCTCCTCTTGTCTTGCCAACGCCCACTAAGTGTCTCCTGCTCAATATTTTCCCACCTCTATCAATATCAGTCCTCTCCTCGCTTCCTAACTGGTTTTATGGACCCTCGTGGTGTCAGCTAACCAGGACCTAAAGACTGCAGGCTGGGGTCCTATTGTGGATTTAGCCAGTGTTCCCCTTGGTTTCTGTCCTATGCTGTCATGGAGACCTCCAGATGGGATCTCTGGTTCCCAGTTAGCTTTCCCACCTGGCTGGTGTCTACCTAAGTCTGTTGTGACTCAGAGAGATCAGAAATCAGTAAAGGGCTTGCCCTGGGCGCTTAGGAGATGGCAGAAGCAAAGGGAGATTGTGGCCCAACAGGAAGGGCAGTCGGAGAGCACGGGATAGAAAAGGCACGCTTTGTCGGAGACTGAGCACAGGGAACACGAGAACTTGCAAGTCCAGGGCCTGGGCTGGAGAGGAAGGCTGGGAAGGTGGAGGACTCAGGGGTTCAAGGGAAAGCCCAAGAGCTGAGGTAGAGGCCACAAAACTGGGGTGACCCATAACCTTCTGACCCTTCTCACACTGAAATTTGGAAGAAGCGATGTCTCAGCTTCCAGGTCCTTCAGTCATTCCTTGGCCACCTGCTGCAGCCATGACTAGGTGCTCAAGGCAAGGCCCTCAGAATCATGGCTCTGAGTGGGCAGAGTGAGTTAACTTCCCATATTAGGTATGGCAAGAAGGCTACAGGCCAGGGGCCCTGCCAGACGCTGGAGGCTGTACCCAATATGGAAAGAGGAGCCTGCCTTGGGAAAGGGGTCCTGCATCAACCTTTTCCCATCTGGAGTACCAACAAAGGGGCGGGCGGGTCTGGCCCTTTGTAAGGGGAAATGTATTAATACCCAAATATCAGCCACCTTCCTTTCTTCCCCATCAAAGCCTTGCAGACACCTGGGTCTGCATTAGAAAGGCTCAGGGTTCTTTCATGTGTGGAGGCCCTGCAGGAAGGGGGTGAGAACACCAGGAGATTCCTCTACTTAGAAAACCCAAGGCTGGTACACCAGCTCCAGCCTCACTTGCAGAGATACTTTGGGGTGGTGGAGGATGCCACCCTCCCCACTTTGGCCAAGTCTCTCTCCTCTGGGGCTCTATTTGTCTTTATGTATAATGGGAGACTGAGCACTTTCTAGGGGGCCAGTGTTTCTCCAGAGACATTGCAAAATGAGTGCCAGAAGCCAGGATCGCAAGAGACAGGCGGCCAACCTTGGGTCCTCCTCTGTCCAGTGGGAGCCGGCAAGTACTCTGTGCCACCCACTGTGCCCTCTGTAGCAGAATCAGGTAAAGATGATGACCTCATTTGGTATTTATTGACAATCAACCAGCAGAACACAAATGGGCTGGGGAGATGCCAGGAGAGAGGTGGGGCACAGAGGCCACTATGCTGCATGAATGTGCCCTGCTCTCCTGGGGAATGCAGTGTGCAGGTCACACCTGAAGAGCGTCTCACAGGGACCTCAGGGCAGAGGCTGCCCCCGGTCAGGTGACCTACAGCATCAGGACATATGTTCAACGTGTGGACCACCTCTGAGTCTTGGTAGCCATTGTTACTGGAAGCCACAGGGACAGGGAAGAAGGGCCCTGACTAAAGCCCTCATTTCTATTCCCTTGGCAGGTGCTTCTCAGGCCCCCTGCCAGCCCAAGGTATCGTGTCCAAATGGTGAAGGGTGGGCTCATCCACTCCAACCCAAGCGACTAACTCCAGCCATTAGTACCTCCCTCCTGTCCTCCGCAGGTCTCCCACCTCTGTCCTGTCCCTAATCCAACCCGAACAGACCTAAAATGCTATACAGTGCCATCCAAGTCCCCCCACCCTGCCTTTCTGCCTTCCCCTCCCTACTAGTCTTCATTCCCTCTCATAAGCTGGGGGCATCAGCATCTCTAGTCAGTCCTGGTCTCTTCTCTGGAAGGTTGTGCCTCCTCCTGGCTCAGGGGCAGCTCTGACCCTCCTGCCTGTTCTGCAATCTTTCTTATCTCTCAGCCCCCAAACTCCCTCCTCTTCCGGGAAAACTGGCCTTAACATAGGAACCCACAAAGACTTTTCTGCCCAATTCATTCACTGGCTCTCTCTATCCAGGACCTTGGGACTCTCCAGCATCTCAATACCCTGAATCTGGGGTTTAAAGTTGGCTCATATGGAAATGTTATCTTGTCGAAATGTCTGAACAAAGATATCAAATATGATGCTTGCTGCCCCAAGAGAAAGGGAGTTGGCTGGCTGGAGGCTTGGGAACAGGTCCTCTTGGGCATGTGACCTTGGTCCAGCTCTTCCCCCTGGCTTCAGTACAACCCTCACAAACGGAGAGCTGAGCTGGATCATTTCAGCTTTGAATGAGTTACCTAGTGTATGTATGTCCCTCTAGACAGAGGTTCCAGGAGATGTAGAGGCCACAAGAGGGACTTATGCTGGGGACTGTCGTTGCCATGGCAACCTCCCATTGCCCGTCAGGATCCTGACAGGCATAGCTATCCCCTGCGGGCCAAGGAAGGGACTGTAAGGCCCCCACCAACCCTCCTGTTTGGTGGTCTCCACTCTCACATCATGGACTCCTCCTCCTCCTCTGCGATCTCACGGTCCACCTCAATGGCTGTGTTCTCGAAGCTGGTGATGCCCCCATATTTGCGCATGTGTACCATCAGTGGCTTTGGTGACTGGCTCCCAGCCAGCGTGGCCACATACATGCCCGTCCGGTTCTCTTCCAGTGATGGGCCCCAGTCTATAGCAGGCCGACTGGCTTGCTGAAGTCTCTGCAGTAAGGCAATGAGAATGGGTGCTGAATGTCTTTCATGCCCAGGCACCCAGCAAAGACCTATGCTCAGTGAGAATCTGCTCTGCCACTTCTGGACTGGCGGCCTCCAGGAACCATCTGTAAACTCCACACTGGGGAGTTGTAAAGAGGATATGACTATTTGGTGTTGGGAATAACATGGCTGCTAAGCTTGTGAGACAACACACACACACACACACACACACACACACACACACACACTCACACTCACACACTGACAAGCATTTAAAGGTAGACTCAGCTCCTTTCTAGCTCCCTTCTGTGGAAAGTAGAACCCAGACTTGTTGTGGACTTTTAGGAAAGAACTGGCAGACAGAGCAGAGGCGGGGCTGAAGTGACTCCCTAGACTCTCCCTAGACAGAGCCCAGCGTCTAGGAAGGAGGGCGCTGACTAAGGGTCTGACTAAGCCTGGACTTCCAGAGACTTCTTTTGCCCCATTCCCAGGGCCCTCTGCCCATCTTGCTGGAGCAAGAGGCCTGTCCTCTGAGAAAAAGGAGGCCACTGACAACGGATGAAGCCCACTGGGTACAGGCTCCGAGGGCACAGGGTGTGACTTGGTCCATCGACAACAGCATTTTGCCACCCAGAGTATAGTGGCATTTATTCAGCTGTTAGAGCCAGCTCCTCACAAACTTGCCAACGGTGTCTCCTCTTCCTCAGAGTGAAATCTGAATGCTTGCCATGCTCTCTGTGACCCGCCCTGCCTACCTTCCTGTACGTTTTGTCAACTTGGCACATATCAAATAAACCCTTTCCTCCCCATCTTGCTTTTTCTCATGGTATGTCTGGATTTTTTTTAAGTTTATTTTTAACTTTAAATAAGTTGTGTGTGTGTGTGTGTGTGTGTGTGTGTGCAGGTGTCTCTGGAGACCAGAAGGAAGTGTCCGATCTCTTGGGGACAGAACTTCAGACAGTTGTAAAGTTACCTGATCTGGTAACTAGGGTCCTCTGTAAGACTGAGTGCTTTTAACCAACTGAGCCATCTCCAGCCCTGATGGTGGTGTTTTAAACACAGCAATAGAAAACCAACTAAGATACTCCACAACTTTGGACCCCACACTCCCCCACCCCATCTCTGCTCCAATCACACGGGCTTTTTGCTGTTCCTCTTCCCTCAGGGCTTTTCAACCTATTGCTGCCAGGGTTGTTCTCTTGATCACCTTGTCCATCTTGCCGTCTCTCCCTGACTCCAACTGCCCTGGCCAGAACAGCATCCTTCACCCCTCTATCTGTGCATTCTGCTTTCAGCTCATCTGTCTGTTCTTTTGAGGCATGGCTCTGAGTTAGCACTATGGAGTCATTATTGCCCCAGTCCCACACCACAGTGCAAGATCTCTGAGGGCAAGGATTGAGATGTGTCCACAATCAATCAATCAATCAATCAATCAAACAAACAACAACAACAAAACAGACCACAGTCTCTGAGCCTGAGCACGCCTGGCCTTCTGTCAGAAACAAGCTGTGGGGTTGTCTTGTACATGGGATGGTGCCAGTCATGGTCCTGATCTATAGTCCTTTCAGTTTCCCTCCATGACAATTAAAAAATGTCACTGGATGCTCCTCAGGGAAAAACCATCCTCTGCGAGATCTCCTAGTCTAGAATTTAGCACATGGCATATCCCAGCTCTGTGTTGGGTGTTGGCCTTTTTAATATTTGCAGTACCCCAGAAAAGAGTTATTTACCTTCCATCCCCTTTACTTCCACAGATATTATCTGAAAGTTAAAGCTCTGAGAGGTCACTTAGTTGGCCAAAGTCACACAGGTTGGAGGATTTAAACCTAGATAAGGCCCCAGCTTGAACTTTTCGAATGTTCTGTTTTCCTGTTCTGTACTCTGACTGGCTCCCTTTCTCACGGCAACCTTATAGGCTAGCACTCCTGTCCTTAAGGAGAAACCAAGGCTGGAGAGTGAACTGGAGTAGGGTCATAAAGCACTGCTGAGACTCTGACCCAATGGATGGAAGGCAGCCCCAATCTAAAGAGACTGCTCCTGGGCCTAGACACAAACCCAATAAACCCAAGTGCTGGCTTCCTTGCCTCCAGGCTGCCCTGTCCCGCTGGCCTCTGCACACACCTGGTTCTTGAGCAAGGGAGCAACTGATAGATCTCTGGGAGGCTCAGGAGGATGCAGAGGTTCAGAGAAGGGGAAGCTTAGCCCCCAAGCCATACAGTGGTTGGAAGCAGGTCAATGGCCGAACTGTAGGCTGCCATGTGACTGGGGGCACCAGGTGGGCATTGAGAGAGAGACAGACAGACAGAGACAGAGACAGGAAGAGGCTGTATGGAGGCAGGCATGTGGCAGAAGCGTGCTGGGGCACAGGCCTGCAGAAGGGGCAGCAGACTGTTTTATACACCATTTCCTGCCACTGCCAATTTCTGGCTAGACCTAGTTTAACAGTGGATCACAACATTCCTAAATTCTCAACAGTAAGCTCTCATGAGCTGGGACTAGCTGGTTCTAGCACCCTCTGATAGGTGTGTGTCACAGGAAGGGTCCCCAGGCTCTATCTGGCCCGTCTGAGCTGTGAGGCTCGCTTGAGTTCTGTTCACTCACGAGGAGTCTCTGGTCATTGGAAGACTCCAGACTCATAGGGGCCTAAATGAAAGTTCTATGTACAAAGGGTGTCCTGGGAAGCTCAGGGAGAGGCCAGGATGTCCTTGTGGCCATACAGCATATCAAGTGGCCCACGGTGGGTTGCTACCAGGCTCTTTCAAGGCCCGTTGGCTCCTATGCCAGTTGCATTCTCCCTGTCTTGTTTTGTTGAAACAGGGTTTCTCTGTGTACCCATGGCTGTCCTAGAACTCTCTCTGTAGACCAGGCTGGCCTCAAACTCATTTGCCTCTGTCTCTAGACTACAGGGATTAAAGATGTGCACCACCACCGACCTGTTAACCAATTGTTCTCTTTAACACACTCATTCTATGCTAGTACTCATGGGCCCAGCAGGGATGCCGATTACAGGACAAGGGGATAACCTACCTTCTGGGGTATCTCAATGTTATCCACTGTCTCTGATCTCCAAGTTCAAGTCCTGACCCCAACACTATCATCAGTGGTCTTTGGATTGGTTCTTCTCTCCTATTTCCATGGACCCATGTGCTGTGAGATTCAAAGTCTGATCCTAGCCCCCAAGTGAATCTAGATCCCATAGGCCTCTTGCAGGCTACAAGGATCCTGCCAGGTTCTGAACAAATGTCCCTATAGGTGTTTTTTTTGTCGTTGTTTGGTTTTTGTTTTAATGGAGAGCCAGACCACAGAGCCCGAAGGCTGTAGGTAGGCAGGGAAGGCGGACTTACCTCCCAGAGCGAGCCTTCCTCTCGAAGCACAGCTACCAGCATACCAGCTGGGATCATGAGGCAGGAGAGCAGGCCCATCAGGATGCCTAGCAGCTCGGCCCAGGCGGGGAAGCGATAGCTGCCGTATTCCGAGGGCTGGTACTTGACGATGCTGTACACCAGCAAGGCCTGCAGAGTGGAGACTCCAGTATCACTGGTCCTTGAGTGGAACCCAGAGTATGGCATGACCTAGTTCTGGACCACCTTAAGGCTTGTGAAAGCCTAGCTGGGACCTACCCATGGTCCTTAGCTTTACCAGAATAAAGATAGTCCATTTATGTAGTCTTTTTACCAGATCTGAGCTATAGGCCAGCTCCAAGCTGACTCAATAAGAAGGTTTGTGACAGCCCAGCTTGGAGATGTCCTAAGTCCTGAGATAGCCTCTCTCCCAGTTACTTCCATTCGATGACAAGCAAAACACAGTACAGAGGCCCCCTCTTAAGGCCCTAAGAACTAGAAAAGCTCTACCCATTTGCTGACCAACTGCAAGTCTAAATCTAGTACAGCTCAGAAAACCCCCCTGGAGGGGGGATGTGTGTGCTAGGTCCTGTGCCTACTCCACAGCCCTGGCAAAGGCCCACTCAGAGCCGAGATTGCCCAAGTTGACTAAACGCACAGAGGGACCGGCGCTTGGCCCCAGCCAACCACCTTCCCTCCCACCTCTGCTTACCAAGAGAGTGGCTGGAGACAGAAACAGCCAGCAGGCCCTGAAGTAGAGGCCTGGCTTGAAGCCCAGCATCATGTGGATGTCTCGGCAGAACCTCTGGATGCCTGCACAGGGGAGGAGGAGTGTCCCCATGATAGATCCCATCGGTGCCAGTGACCCCTCCTCCATGCCTGTCTCCCTGCCTGGCTGCAGTACAGGGCCCACACCCTGTTCTCTCACTCCTGGGAGTGTCAGTCTGCCTACCCCCACCCCCTGCACCCTTCTCACCATATACCCGGGTGACAGCAAGGCACGTGGTAATCACCACCACCATGAGTCCGAAGCTGGCGCTGTAGTCATCCAGAAGGACCAGCCAGTACATACCCCCCTAGAACACAAAGCACAGCGCTGAGCCCCCAAGCCTCAGTCTCCTCTGCTATAGACCATCTCCTGCTTCTGGCAGGAGGTGAGTGGGAAGGAGCTGGGGCAAATGCTGAGGGGGCAAAAACCATGAAATGGGTCTGCCTGCTCAGCACTTGTAGAGACATTGTCCCTTCCTGCTTCCCAGCAGCCTGGTCTCCTAACAGGACCCTCCTAGACATGAGGAAAAATGGGTTCAGAGATGGGAAGTCACTTGTCTGGAGTTACTCAGAAAGTGGAGGACTGAGATTTGAACCCAGGTCTTTCAAATTGACTCCAGAGCCAGAACTCAACCACAGACCAAGGTGCCTGCCATAGGAAACATTCCCTGGTAGGACTGGAAGCTATTTGGTGACTTCTCAGCTGGCCAAAAATACCCTCAGGTGGCAAACAACACCATGCCCAGCTCCCCAGCTTGGCGCCCCCTGCAGGTCACTCACATCAGTGGTAAGGATCAGCCCCATCAGGTACATGGCTACACAGATGAGGCCTGAGAACACTGCCTTCTTGGGCCGCAGGTAGTACGGGAACTCGTCGGTCACTGCAGTCACTATGGTTTCTAGAAAGGCAAACTGCAGCGGGATATTGAAGTCAAACTCTTACCTGCACACATACCAGTGCCCCCACCCATGGCCAAGGCTCACCTGGCTATCCAGGCCAAGAGTCAGAAGCATGAAGAAGAAGAGGAAGGACCAGAAAGGTGACAGAGGCAACATAGTCATGGCCTGTGGGTAGACAACAAAGGCCAGGCCAGGGCCTGGGCCCAGGGCATGCAAGGTCAGCAGCCTGGGGTACACAGTATGCCTCCATATGCATTCAGACACATAGGGTTGCTTGTGTCCATAAGGGGGTACACTCACTTACCACACCCAAGTCCAGAGATAGACACTCACTGAACACATTCACCACTTTCTCAGTTCCCAGGACTTAGGACACTGGACACTAGGACTAGCACACTGCAAATGCTCAGTACATGGGACTATTGAATATGAATTTGCAATCATGAACAAATACACGCAGGAACCAAATGTAGCACGTAGTCAGAATACAGGTCCGCATTTGTACAGAGAGCCCCCACCAGTACACATACTTGCACTCACCCACTGACACAAAACACACTGATTCAGATTATTGGTACCCTACATTCTCTCTCACACATACATCTCAACCCAGGATGTGACAACAATCAAGACCTGAAAAATAAGACAGCTTCATACAGAAATGCCTTTGTCTCCAGAGCGATTGTTGTTGCACGCTCATTTGCACACCCATGCATTTACACTCATGTCCCACACAGTGTACACACACACACACACACACACACACACACACACACACACAACAAAACAAAACAAAAAACATCCCCTGGAAAAAACCCATAGCTAGCTATTCCCACATCTTGCCAGTCTGTGTTGATAGCATACCCTGTGACCCAGCTATATCTCACCCCAACCAAACCCTCACATGCTGTCTCCACCTACCTGCTTTGGCTACTTGGTCCACGGGCACACCCAGCTCCTGAGACATGTAGCCCAGCACCGAGAAGATGGCAAAACCAGCCAGGATGCTGGTGATGGCATTGCCCAGAGTGACAATGAAGGTGTCTCTGCCAGGAGAGTTCAAACCAAAGCCAGGGTGAGCTGACCACAGCTTCAACCCAAGGGAGCCTCCTGGGCAACCATCCTTCTGAGTTTGGCCCCTGGCACTGGGGAGCTGCAGGTACTGACCTGTAGATGTTCTGGTGGAATGTATTGTAGGAAGCAAAGGTGAGAAGACCCCCAAAACCCACTCCTAGGGAGTAAAAGATCTGAAGAGCAGCTTCAATCCATACCTGTGCCAAGGAAAGAGGGACAGGGAAGGCAGGGGGACCCAGGAGAGAAGGAGGGGGGCGAGGGTGAGAGATAGGTTCAGGAATAAGGAACAGCCAGGGTTACTAACGAGGGCCAGGAGAAGACCCAGATCCAGCACTTACACTGAAGGATGTGGGCAAGTCCTTCCCTTTTCTGGGACTCAGTTTACCACCCAGGGTCTAGTAGATGGTCTCTAAGCCTGGTCCAGTCCTGAAGGAAGGTGTGGCCAATGCAGAGTTGCCAGCAGATTTGGAGTTATACACAGGCCTAGGTAACCACTTTACTCCCTGCCTGGAGTCAGAGGGATCTGAACTGGTACTCATCTTTACCAGTTTCTAACTACATCCTGTAGGAGCCCTTTTACCTCTATGCATCCCAGGGCCCTCATCTGTGGTGGAAGACCTAAAAAGATGCCTACTTTATGGGGAGGCTAAGTAAGCACGAAGTCATTAAGTGATCAAGAAATGTCAGGTACAGTCCAATGGTCAATAGTGGCAGCTGTCAGGACCACGTTGTGATTGTCACTGGTTCTAATGTCCCCCCTAGGCTTTGGAGCCAGACTGATCTGAATGGAAACCCTGCCATGAGACTCACTAATTCTTGTCACTCCTCACTCACTGCTCATCACTAATTCTTGTCTGTTCCTGGTTTGCTTTTGTCAAATGGAGAAAATAATATTTGCATCCTAGGATTTTAAGAAGACACACAGGAAGGGTTGGGACAGTGCTGCAGCTGGAGGCTCCCCCATGGAGGGTCCCCACCCCTGTCTCCTTCTCCCAAAGTACTTTCTTTTCATGCTCCCCACTTACCTTTGAAGATAACAGGTGGTGGAACTGGGGAGTGAGATAGAACTGGATGCCCTTCCAGGCCCCGGGAAGGGTCACTCCTCGGACCAACAGCATGAGGAGGATGAGGTAGGGAAAGGTGGCTGTGAAGTACACCACCTGGAAGACAGAAGGTTGGAGTGGCAGATGACCATCCGTACAGCTCTGCCTGCCATGTCCTCAATGCCAGAAACCCACCTTCTCATCTTTCAGTGGTCATGAGCTAGGAAGCAGCCACCATTATGGGTATGTGTCCTTCTCTCCCCATCACCAGCCCAGGGTTGCTACCCTGCTTCCCAAGGCCACCCTTGTCCCATCTCTATTGATGCCCTTGGTACAGGCTATCCTCTATCCTCAACAGCCTATTGCCCATTTGTCTGCCCATCACCTGTGGTGCATGCTGGTCTCCTTATGTCTGGTTTGTCTTGACTTGGTAATAGTAGTCTGGCTTTCCCTACATGGGACTCACTTAATGCTCAGCTTTGGGGGTAGGTTCATGAACAGGCCCAGCAAAATGGATAATCCCTTCCTGCCACAGAGACCAGGTATGAGCCCACTTTATCTATAAGGTAAGCTCTACAATATCTGCAGACTGGGAAGCAGGTAGGAGAAGCCAGTGTGGAGCAAGGCTTCACCGAGAGGTCAGAGAAGCAGACTGCGGGAAAAAACCATGAACCCCAGACCCAGCCATGTCAACCCCCTGGGCTTTCCAGTTAATGAAACATCTGGGTACGGGTGACCTTCAACTCCAAGATGTCTGATCTATTTATCCATCCCATAAGCATTCCACAAGCCCTTGATGAGTCTCTGCAAAGTGGCAAGCTCTAGGCAAAGATGCCAACTTGAACAACCTATAGGTATTGCCCGAAGCAGGTGCCTCACCTAAGAAAGCAGGGAGGCCCAGTGTCGCTACTGATCCCAGGCCCTCTGTTCCCCGTCTCCTGGTAAATTCTATCATCTTCTCAGCCTTGGCCAGCACCCACTTCCTCCCCAGCTACTGCATCTTGACACCCAGCCTCCCAAGCCTCACCTTGCCTGAGGACTTCACCCCCTTCAGGATACAGAGAAACACGATGACCCAGGCCAGCAGCAGGCAGAGGCAGAGGTTCCAGCGAATCTCCCCAGGTCGGCCAATGCCCTGGCTGCCCTGAATGTGCAGGACATAGCGACTGTGGGAGAAAACGAGTAGGGAACCCTCTGGTCATCCTGCCGTACACCATAGGTATGGAGTCGGGGAGGGAGCCATGCACAGGCTTCTAGATCAGGTAGCTCTTTCCCCTAGGTGGTGCTTTTCAAGCCCCTTCCATTTGTCTTGGAGCCCAGGAAGCTTGCCTCTACCTCCCCACCCCTCCAAACACACACTCCTTTCAGGAGCAAATAGCAGATATAGACTTGATGGATCTGGTATTTGCACACATATACACATGTGTGTGCATGTACATACACACATGCACTCCATCAGGAGCCTGGCCATGGCTATGCTCCCCTGAGCCATGGTTCACTTGGGTCGTCCTGCGTCCAAGGCTCCAAAGCCCACAATCCCTCCCTCCCTCTGCCCCTTGGTTCTGCTTGGTAGCTGCTCTCTCTAGTGCTGGTTCTAGTGCCCTACCTCTCCATGTGGATTCCCTAATCCTCTACAAAGCCTCTTCACTAAAATATCTCCAATTAACCCTCTTGGCAGTGCCGTCTGCCCCGTCTATACCTCACCCAATGCGATCACTTCGCATTGCCCCAGAGACCCTTGGCAGCCACAGCGACCATGTCTTGAGTTTTGCAAGACACACTCAAAGCATTAGGTCATATTTTAGCAGATGTAGGCCCTTTGGTTGCCCTTGAAATGAACAAGGGAGTGGACTGTACAGACCATGCAAGCTGGGAGAGGGACCGGCTCAAGACATGAACCTATTGGAAGCCTTTGGGAGCAATCTTTTGCAGGGGAAGGAAGAGACTATCCATCCAGTGTCTGAGCTACTCTAGAATATACTGGAACCGGACTGAGCCAGGAAACCTAGGTGTCATCATTACTACTACTGAGCAAGCCTCTGGCCCTTGCTTTCTCAGCTAGGATGGGCTGGTGAGCCACCATGTCTTTCTGTAAGCTGTCATTCCTGGGCTCATGAGTTCCTGCCACTGCAATGATGGTTTTACCCATGTCGCCTTGTTTAAACCTCCCAGGAGACCTTTGTCTCACCTCTGCTCTCACACTAATCTGAGACAATTCTAACTTGGTAAGGCCCTGGCTTTATGTTAAGCACTTTACCAATGGACATAGCACCTCAATAAACACTTATTCAGAGAATAAATATGTGAGTGGCTAAATAGATAATGTCCTGTGAAGTAGCTACAGTTATCACCTTCCCTGTGACAGTGGGAGAAACCGAGACTCTCAAATTTCTCTCTTGCTAATAAATGTCACTGTTGTCAATAAATGGACACTTACTTACTAAACCCCTTCACTCCTGAGGCTAGATCGCAGTTTCCGTGCATTCTTTCCTCTGATCTGCACCAGCCACCTTCTGAATTAGTTTACTCCAACTGTCCTGTTCTAAAAGTAGCTGGCCAGGAAAGGAGCCAGGACCAGAATCCTTTGTCCTCCACACTCCCGCAGCCCAGGCTAGGCCAGCCCAGTACCCCGTCCTCCTGCCCACCCTCAGTGGCTACCCCAGTCAGGCTGACCTCCAGTACTCCTCACTGGGGCTGACGGTGCTGCTGAGGTTAAGAGGCAGCACCCCATTGCCATCCTTGGGGCCTCTGTGCTCCAGGCAGCGTTCTGTGTTCCACCAGTTGCCACAGTGTTCCCAGGGCAGGTTGCTGGTGAGGGAGGCAAAGAGGTAGAAGAGGACGTAGGCGATGATCATGTTGTAGTAGATGGCCACCAGGCCTACGATGAGCAGCATGGCCGCACCTGCACCTGGGTGGAGGAGACACAGCATCACCGCCCTGGGAGAGCCTGGGAGCACGGCAACTCCCCCTGGCTCCTGGGAAGCTCTACGCCAGCCAAGAACCACCGAGCCTTACCTTTGAAGAGGGGGCTGATTTTCCAGACAGCCAGGGGTCCCAGGCTGGAGAACTGGCCCAGGGAGAGCTCAAGAAAGAAGAGGGGGATGCCACAGATGGCCAGCATGAGGAAATAGGGCACGAGGAAGGCTCCTGCAGGGAGGTAGCAGATGGGGTTGGGATTCAGATGGACCGGCCCCTCCAAGGCGCCATGCTGGCCAGTCCACCGCTGTCCCTTGACAGCAGCCACCTACCATCCACCTGTGATGGATGAGCGCTTCTCCTGAGGGTCACTGAGGCTGGGGAAGCTGGTGGATATTTACTCACTTCTGTAGCTAGAGAGCCCAGAACATGAGTGGGCACCTAGCAGACACTCCAGAAACACCTGCTGAGTGACTGCATGAAGAGCGGATGAATGAGTTATCTTCCATAGAGTGCCAGTTCCACACCTCCAGACTCTGCCTCCGATGGTCCCTTCCTCATGAATGCTGCTTCGGATGCTCTGGCTGGCACCTGAGATTTCATGGGCCCTGCAGTTTCCTGGGCCTGGCATCCCTCCCCTTCTCTTCACACATAGACAGCCACCTCCTTCAGACAGCTGCCTACCACCAGATGGCTCTGGTAGGGCTGTAGTCACACAGCTAGCCCTCTGGCCTCCTTCCTGAAGCTCCCTGGGTAAATATCCCAAGTGACTCTGATCACTTTCCTTGCAATTTTATATTGATTCATTTCAGGTGATCTTCTAAGAGGGTGGCTAAACCCTCCAGAACAGAGTCACTCCAGAAGTGTCTATGTCTGGTCTCCCCATCCTAACTTCATGGAGGAGGGCTGCCTGTCTGTGGAAGAAGTAAGGTCAATACACAGAAAAAAAATAGGGAAGAAGGACGTGGGAGAGGAGAGAATCCTGGAGCAGTGGAAGCTGGTGTGGACTCACAGGTTGGTCTAGTGTTACCTGGTTTCCTCTTTGCCAGTATGCACCTCGTTAGCAAGTTTGGGGGAGGGAGCTGAGACACACAAAAACACGGAGCCCTGGAGAAGACAGTTGGGAGGTTGAATCTGCACTATGTGACCTCAGCCAGGGAACTTGACTTCTCCAGACCTCAGCTACTTCAGCATTTCCAGGTGCCTACCCAGAAAGGTTGTTACCAGGGCCTGAGGCAGGCGCCAAGCCCAAGACCTGGCACTGGTATACTTCACCTTAACTATTGTTAATGGGCTTAGAATGTTGGCTTGATGGAGAACCAAGGACAAAGGGAATTATTTGGGAAAAAAAAAGCAGCATAGATAGTGCGTTTTTTGATCCAAATGGAAAGAACCAGGAGAGGAGGGAACATGGAAGATTCTAGAGAGGAAACTGTGAGTGGAACAGGGCCATGCAGGACGTAGGGGAGGAGACAGGATACACTGCAAAGCATACGAATAGTGACGGTGGGTACCACCCTTTACACTCACCATGGGCAAGTGGGCAACAATATCTGCCCACCATAGGGTCTAGAAAATCATTAGGTCTTAGGGAGGAAAGCTGGGTATCACGCTGGGAATGCAAAGCAGGAGGAGGGGCTTAGGTGGTGAAAAGGGACAGGCAGAATAAGGTCACTTCAAAGGCCATCCTATAGTCCCCAAGCCTTGGTCTGTCACTCCAGCCACTCCCAAGAGGTTCCCAGGCCCATACCGCCTCCGTTGGTGTAGGCTCGGTAGGGAAACCGCCAGACATTTCCCAAGCCCACACAGTAGCCAATGCAGGACAGCAAGAAGTCCAGCTTGCCCGTCCAGTTGCCCCTGTCTGCTGCAAAGTCTATGTCCAGGTCGACATCGCCCTGGTCACTGGGAGTCATCAGCAGGTCTGGGGTGACAGGCTGCCAGTAAGAGAGAAAAAAAGCAGAGAAAGAGGAAGGTGAGGCCAAATAGAACTGGGAACCCAAGCAGAGACTGTGGATTGAACAAGGCTGAGTGGGAAATAGCCTATCAGGTTCAGATGATCCAGTGATTTTTACCTGGACTCAAAAGCGCCTGCTTGTAGATCCTTAGAGACCAGCAGCTGGCTCAGGCCTTAAGAAGCTGCCCGACTTCATCTTGGCTAGCAGAAATAGGCCAAGGATGACCCACTTTAACATCACTGCCAGTGATGATCTTTGTGGCAGTCACCGTGTGTTGTCACCATGTGCTGTCACTGTGAGTTAGTGATGACAGCAGTAAACATTCTACACCTGAGCCAACCACTCACCCACACTCCATTCCAAGTGTGAAGAAAGCTGAGGCTCCAGGAGGGCTCATGACCTACCTGAGGCTTTCAATTGCTTGGCCAGGAGAACCAGGCCTGGCACCAGAACTCATAATGCTAATGGCCTGGTCTTTGCCTACAGTGTGGAGCTCACTCAAGGGCAGGTGGCCAGACTGGAAGGTGTTCAGGACAAGAGGCTCCAAGGAGGAGAGAGGGAAGAAGCCAGGTTACCTTTGGCACAGGAAGCAAAGGACTTTCAAAGAATGTGAGCTCCCTGAGGAAGGGATCAAAATTCTGTCTCGTAGCTCAGAGGACATAGTAAGGGCTGTGGGTTTGCATAACACTAGGAAGAAGCCTCTTACGCGTTGCTTCAGAAAGTCCCCATCTCACTAACATTAATGCAGAGCAGAGTGCAGAAGAGAATGAGGCCAGTTGTCTTGGCTGTCTCCTTCCATGATTCATTGTGGTCAGAGAGGTCCACTGGGTAATCTCCCTGTGGTTGGGGCTGAGAGGTGGAGGTCAGCTCCTTTTGGCCACAAAGAATGCAAGCTGGCCTATTTACAAGTTACTCTGGTTTACTACCTGGAGGAAACTCAGAGGCACTAGAACCACCTAAAATTCAGAGAGGCGCTCCCAAGCGGGGACCATGGGAATGGGTCAAAAGATGGCAGCCCACCTTGCCAGCTTGCTTCTGAAATTCCTTAGTGTCTAGGAGAATGGAAATACAAACCAGGTCAGTCAGTAAATATCCAGCCATGATGTGCACCCCAGGAGAAAAGCCCTCCTTCAACTTTCTATCCAGATACACTTGTAGGAATTCCTGAGAACCAGGAGACTGATTCTGGCTCACAGTCTGTGCTAATACACTGTGTGACCACGGTCTTCTGGGTCTCAGTTTCCCTATCAAGACAGGCTGGAGACTGGGTAGATCAGTGTTTCCAGAAACATATCCTTTGAGATGCTTGTAGCATAGGCGTTCTGTGGAAGAACTGTTCAGTCAAAAGCTGGCTTAACACAGTCTAAAATATATGTCTTCACTTGCAGGACTGGTCAGCTCATTGAATGGGCCAGGACATTCCAAATAGGGACTAGAATGTACTATTCTTAATTTCTGTTTGAGAAAAGGGTCTCAAGGAGCCAGCATGCTCCTTCAGAGGTGTGAGCCTAGAAAATGTTAGGCTTAAGACCTCTGTTAGAGGTCTTAGCCAGAGGCTCACAATGACTGAGGGCCAGGTAGAGCCTCCTCAGAGACTCTGAGCCAAGTCACTGACCAGAGGAGTTTCTGTCCCAAAGACTTTCCACCCAAAACAGATAGTGACAGAGGAAGCTTCACTGGGTACTGGCCACACAAGTGTCACTAGGATCAAGAAGAAAGGAGGGCTGGGGTGTGGCTCAGTGGTTGAGCCTCTGTCCCCATGCACCAGGCCTGGCTTCCATCCCTGGCAGGAGAGCAGGGGTGAGCAAGGCCTCCCACAGCTAGAGATGTCTGCTGTAGTATGGGACCGGGCAGTGGATCCTGAGGCTGTACTGAAATTACAGTGCTAAGCTGACTGAGTAACAGTTGTGTGACTGTGGTGGTAATCTTGCCTGTGGTTGGGCAATGGTGGCAGGGACAGCCTGACATGGCTGTGGGTGATGGTGACAGACAAAAGGTGCTTTAAGACTGAAATGACCTCTGGAGCCACAGTTTTCTGCTGTAGCCTAGGACAGGCCGAGGTGAGGGTAGCAACCACTCCCAGGCTTGGCTGGGCTCTTCCCTCCTCTCCCCTTCCTCTCTCCTCTCATAACTAGAAAGGCTGCCTTTCTAGTTATGAGAACCAGCCTTTGGGCACCCTTGGGCTTCCACAGGAACTCTAAGAGGGAGTTGGTGGCAGCCAGCTACTGTGATTCCTGTCACTAAGTTGCAAGGTAGGCCTGTCACCCTGAGACCCTCTGTCCCTTTCAGACCAGCTGACAGGAGGTCGCAGTAATGAGACTCCTCGGATCCCCTCAAAGATACTGCCCTTTTCACACTCACAGAGCAGTCCGATCTGTTTCCATGGAGACAAGAGTTCTAAGAGCAGGAGGCTGCCAACTGGTCCTCCCCCAATCAGAAGGAAGCTTGCTCCTATTCCAGGGCCAGAAAATAGGGGTCCCCCAAAGATGAGCCAATCAGGAACCTACATGGAGCCCTAGGCCCACCATCAGGTGAATCCCAGGAGGCTAGCACAATGAGGAAGGGCCTGGTCCAGAAGCAGCAGACAGCAGGCAGCAGGCGAATAAATGGAGCAGGGCCAGAACCTACCTGGCTTGCTCTCCATTTCCACCTGTTTGGGCGCTCCCACTCCCCACTCTGGGTCATACGGGAACACACTTCTGAGCATGCACCTGCACTCTCTCTTTTAAGGACCAATAGATATAGGTCCCCACTCTCAGGCATCAAGAAAAAGGGGAACGGTTAGGAGGGAGCACCCTGCCAAGTCTGGAAACATCTTTTACCTCCCTCCTTGGAAAGACAAAAGGCATCTAGGATTCCCACTTCACTGCAGGAAGCAGAGCTCCAGAGAGGAGAGGGAGGGGCCCAAGGTCAAATGGTAAGCCAAGGTCAGAGCATCTACTAAGGCAAGATCCGGCCCCACGGCGCTTCTGCCGGCCCAGCCTGGTCTTGCTCACAGAGGCCCCCTTCTCTCTGAGACATTGGGAGGGCGGGAGGCAGTGCTGTTCTGCTTGTTCTAGGTAGCTTCTACTCCCAGGTAAGTCATGAAGCGCTCCTGTGCCTCAGCTGCTCTGTCTATAAAATGGGGTTAGTGGAGTCTAATGGATGGCTGAAGGACCAAAGGCCGGAGGAGCTTGTCCGGGATACTCAGCAAGAGCTTCCTACCACACTGTTTCTGTCATGTGTGGCTGTGACAGAGAAGGGCAGGGGCTCCTGTGGGAAGGGAGAGCAAAGGAGAGAGAGAGAGAGAGAGAGACAGAGAGAGAGAGAGAGAGGGAGGGAGGGCGGGAGGGAGGGAGGGAGAGAGAGAGAGAGAGAGAGAGAGAGAGAGAGAGAGAGAGAGAGAGAGAGAGAGAGAGAGAGAGAGAGAGAGAGAGAGAGAGAGAGACCGACCCTGGGGGAAATGGAGACAAGACCAAATAGGATCCAAGAGACCACAACAGTTTCAAGAAGTAACACCTGCCAGCCAATAGAAAAAAGACCTCAGTTGTTTCCAGGTCTGGGAGCATAAGGTCAGAAAGCTTGAATGAAGGTGTGTGTGTGTGTGTGTGTGTGTGTGTGTGTGTTGTGATAACAGCAGCCAGTCCTTATGCAGTCTTCTCACGTGTACCTGCCCCTTCCAGTTCAGAGCATCCCCAAACCGCAAACAGCCCAGTGGGGGAGGGGCTCTTATCTCCATACTGGAGATGGATGGTTGGAGAACGGACTTGACCAGTCGCCGCCAAGTGACAGTACTCAGTTCTCTTTCCTTGTCTAGGGCTGTGACTTCAAAGCTTGTCACCAGAAAACTTACCTCAGTACCCCCTCCCCCACAAACAACTGGGAAGTCCAGCATGGCCAGGTAGGGTGATCGAGGTCCGGCTGACATCTCTGCTGCTACCCCACCTCCCATTCTTAGGTTCCCGGACCCCACCCTTGCCTCCCTTCAACCTGATCACGGACTGTCACCCAGACAGTGAAGGGGGCTTCTCAACAGGAAAGGGAGGGTGTGGTGAAAAGGGACAAGGGGGACATCTGAGGGACCCCAATCGGCAGAGCCCAAATCCTCAGGACTGAAGTGGGTCCGCTGGAGGCTGGCAAAGGTCCTTTTGGTATAGAGTGCCCAGGTGAAGCCAGGGCGAGATTCCAGCCCCAGGAGAGCACAGCACAATGTTGACATTCAGCTTCTAACGCCCCTACCCTAAGTCAGGTCCCGGTAGAACAGATGGAGTACCGGGAGAGGGGTATTTGACCCCCGCCACCCATCCGCACCTCCTGGGGCTGCAGACACCTGTTTGCAGGCTGGCGTACAGTGAACCTGGGCCCTAACGCTACACCCGGAGCCACAGGAGAGATCGTGACCCCGCCCCTCCCTGTAATCAGGTTTGGGAGGTTCTCTAGCCCAGAGCAGCGGGGGGCATCCCTTTGGCGGGTCGACCCTTGAGCCTCGCTCAGGTGAGCTCCGCCCTCGTGCCCTACCTTGCGGAGGTGAGCTTCCTGGAGCTTCTTCATCTTGGAGAGCTGGCGCGGGCAGCTTGCAAGAGCGCAGAGAACCAGCCAAGCGGGCGCTGAGCACTGGTCCTACCTCTGCGCCTTTGCCCCCACAGCTCCCGCGCACGGGCTGGGGAGGGCGCAGGCGCTGCCGTGAGGCCGCTGCGGGCGTGGGGTGCTACGAACGCCCTGCCTCTCCCTGCGCAGCGCCCTAGGCTGAGGAGACACCCAGACAGATCCGATGACGGACAGACGGCGGCGGGGGGGGGGGGGATGGGCGCGCCCCCGCACGCAGAGCTGCGGATTGGAGCGGCCTGAGCGGGGGGGGAGGGGGTGCGTGACAGAAACCATCAGTCGTAGCTACAGTCTTCTGTGTGACCTTGGGCAAGTGACTGCCATCTCTGGGATGGCATCTCCGTTTCATTAGTTGGGTGACGAGAGAGGCAGGCAGAGTGCTCCTGTCCGTTAAAATTCCTGTGTGGGGTTCCAGCACCAACGACATCGTCTTTGTTGATGACCTTAAATTTCCTGCAGGGCAATCTTGTTCTCTTCTGTCACTTTACTGGGGTGTAAGGAATTCATCGAGACCAAACATAGACAACAGCCAGCATGGAGTTGCCACACAGTAGGCACACAACTAATGTTTAGTTAGTTCATTCAGCCACCAGCCAGTCGCCCAGTCAACAGTGCTTATCCAGTACCTTAATATGGTCCTGGAACGCATCTTGTTTTCTCAACCAAGAGAGGCGGTTGTTTAGTCCTTCAGTTTCAAGGATGAGGAAACCAAAGGGTAGGGAAGGTAGTTACTCACTCAAGGCCACGAAGTTAGCATGTTAGACACCAGGGACAGAGTCAGTCCTCATAGACTTCCGTAGACACAGTGGTCCTCAGTGTGACTCCTTGGAATGAAAGTGCAGTGGGAGGTTCGGAGAGGAAAAGGGACAGGCAAGTGTCACCATGTTGTGGTGGCTTGTGATGTAATGTCTATCAGCACTATGGCCTTGGGGCTATCCATTTTATCTGTGAACCGGGTCACCAACCACCAGATGTCTGACTAAGCTCTCAGAGAGCAGCATGACCATTCTTTGAGCCTTCCACTGGGATGGGAAAGTGATAGCTGGAGTGACTGAGCAATCAGTGGACTTGTTTGCTAGTTTGAACCACCGTTGGAAGCCAGGTATGGAAAAAAATCTATGTCTTCTAGAGATGTCCCCTATAGACATTCACCATCCAAACTGGGGAGATGCCAGGGTAGAGTCTGCTCTGACCTTTGGGGTTCAAGAGAAGGACTGGATTTCAGAGTTTCTGAGCTGAGTGAGGAACCTGTCTCTCCTCCCCAGACTCTGAGATATGGCTAGCCAGGCAAGGCTTCCCTGACGTAGGAGGAAGGAGCTTCTTCCTGCTGCTTCTGCCCCTAGGAGCCTCAGGTGGCCAAGATGGGCTGAGTACTTCTTGAGTCTTGCTGTATTATGACGGATCCAGTATCCAATGATTAATTCTTCCCAATAGCTCTAGAAAAGCGGGTATGTATAGATTACATTTTATGGATGAAGAAACATTTTCAGAGGAAAGATACCATGTACCCAAGATCTCAGAGAATCTTTGGGCTTTAGGAATAAGCCTGGGGAGCAACAGGGGCCTGGGGCCGAGGAAGGAGGCTCACATAGGTCCCATTCTCCCATTTCTTTTTCCTTCCCTCTCCCCCTGCCCTCCCTCAGACACTGGAAGCTTTCAGGCCTTTGGAAGGTTCAGAGAACCTGGAGAACAGCGGTTAGGGTGAAGCAGCTGACTCTAGATCCCAGAGAAATGGCCTCTTTCTGGCCCCCACATAGCAACACCTGCTTGGGAGTCGGGGGTAGCCTTCCTCGAGCAAGTATATTATGTGATGACCACTGAGCTTAGGCGACAGTCACTGAGGGTCTCATGGGCATGTGGGCTGAGTCCATACTTTCTAGATGGGGAAAACTGAGGCCCAGAGAGGGCAGGATTTGCAAAAATCACTCAGAGTGGGGTAGAGCCACACCTGAAATGTAGGACATGAGCCTACACTTCCTGCTCACCTCTCTGCCACCATCTCCCAGTCATCTCACCAGCCTTGGGTGAGAAAAAAAATAATAAAAACAAAACACTAAGATTTTCTGGCAGATGTCGCCTATGTCAGTCATTCTATTCCTGAAGCCCCAGCTTTGCAATAGTGCGATAATCAAGGGTTCACTGACCAGGCAGCTTATCTGTTCCCTGTCCTCCATCGGGAGGGGCGAGGGGCATGGAAGCTGTTAAATGCTCCCCTCTTCTCTCCCCTCCCCTCTCAGCATCTCCAGGTCTCACCACAGCCAGAAGTGAAATGGGAATGTGTGCTGACTTAGGAGAGGAGAGTGTTAGATGAAAATGTACTTCCTTTATTATATAGGGAGATATTTTTAAAAGCATATAAATAAACATTTTCTAATTTGCTTAAGCGTTCGGATTTTGTCACTGTAGAGCATGTGTTTTGTCACACGAGGAGTGGCGACTGTGGAAAACGAGGCTCCAGTCTGCCAGTCCATCTGGTGCAGCGGGGAGGGACGCCCTTCTGGAACAACCCCGCAGGCCGGGATCACCCCTCCTCCCCCAGGGCCACTTTAGTGGGCTGCCAGCCTGTGTCTCCCCATCCCAGGGTCACACAGCTTTTCTCCGAGATTGAAGACCTCCTTCAAGTTTTTGTGTGTATAATCTCTCAGCTGATGGAGCCCACCTCTTCCAAGGCATTGGGCTTTCAACCTGGATTCTCTCTGGAGCATCCCTGGGCTGCTGATAATGGCTTCTTAGTTCTTTCACAGGATGAGAGTTCTCAATGGAGAGTTAGGGTTCTACTGATCCTAAGGAAACCATACCCAAAATAGTCCTGGCAGGTGTTGTTCTCAGTTGCTAGTGCCCAGCATTGTGCCTTAGAGGACCAGTCCAAGCCAGGCCTACTGTTGGAGCCTAGATCCCCAGCAGCAGCTTTGGGACTGCCACCCAGCAAAGGGACATGTGCAGCTCCCCTGTACAAAACAGCATCTGCTGTCCCCAGAGGATAGATAGGTGGATACCTCTATCTCTAGGGTAGTTGCAGGGTCTGATGCAACCTGAAGAGGTCTCTTTCCTTAGTTACTGCTATACCACAACGGCTCCTGGAACTTTTTCTTTTTTCTTTTTTTCTGAACAGGGTCTCAGTACTCCTGGCTGGCCTTGAACTTACTGTATAGCCAAGAATGACCTTGGGTTTTTGGTCTTCCTGCCTCTGCCATTCAAGTGTTGGGATTTATAGGCTTGTGCTACCATACCCAGTTTTTCACAGTACTGGAGACTGAACCCGGGGCTTCATGCATCTCTACCAACTGAGCTATATTCCCCAGCCCCTCTGGTGGAATGCTTTTAGGTGACAGGAAGATCATAGCATGCTTGGAGAGATATATAGGCAACTTCTCTTTCACATGGCGTTTGAAAGCTAATGGACAGGTGACTCATACCCAACCTTCTGAGCTCCCATGTGGGTGATGACTGCAGCTTCATTAGCTGCTGGGCAGAGGTCTCCTAGAGCCAGGGCCCCATGCCACTAACTGTTCTCAGTGTTACAGTGTTTGCAACTACAGCTACACATGTTAGCATCTCAAGTAGGGTGCAAAGCATGGGCTGGATTTGTGCTCCTCAGTTCCAAGAATAGCTACTATAGTTCTTGACAGACTGGGAGACCCAGAGAGGCACCTTAGTTAGCTTCCAGGTCTCATAACTGGAGCCCAGCCCACTTAACTCCAAAACCTGAGGCTCCACTCAGTCATGGAGACAGTAGGGCCTTCCAGCCCCAAGCTTCCAGAACTCCCTTGTGTGTGTGTGATGCTCACAGGTACTGGTGCGGGATTCCTGGGTAGGAAGCATTGGGAACAGACAGAACATTAACTCAAACCTGTAATCCCAGCATTCTGGAGGCTCAAGTAGGAGGATCACCATGTGTTTGAGGCCAGGCTAGACTATATGGTGAATTTCAGGTCAGTCTGGCCAGTGAAGGGGCTCAGCAAGTAAAAGCATTTGCTGCATAAATTTCATTTATACCCCAAACAACTGCACCAGAGCAGAAACCAGAAGCCCAGAGAGGGGAAGTATCTGCCCTAGGGTCATGCAGATCAGAAAGCAAAACTCACTGCCAGCTCCCAGCCTTCCCTACTCCATTCTTCTGGCACCACCTGGTTCCACAGGCTCAGATGTCAACTGCTACAGAGAGGCCCTGCCTGTCTCCACAGTGGATGGCCCGAGAGGAGGCTGGTATGCCAGGGCTGAGAACACCTGTATACTGTTATCCCAGGCTAGGAGCAAAGGGCAAAGGCAGACAGGCTGCACACGCTTTTTATGACCTAGCCACCTCCCAGAACAGTAAACAGAGGGACAAGCAGCTGGCACCAGAGCCCTCTGGGCAGAGAAGGTCCTAGGCAGCTGACTTCTGCCCACCTCTGGGGAAAAAAACGCAAGGAGGCCATCTCCCAGAAGCTTAGAAAATGTTCTACGTTCCCATTGCTTCTGTTCCTTCTTCCTTTCTGGACCTTACCAGCACATGCAGATCCTAGCTCAAGTACTGCCTCTTCCAGGAAGCCTTCCAGGTCTCCTGATGTGCAGGGAGCCTCCTCTGCTCTCCATCTCCACAGACAAACGGTTTCCCGCCATGTTCAGAAAAAAGTTCTGACTGGCCCTTCCTTATCTTTCTATATGAACACCACTATACATTCCCACTGGGCCAGGCACTTTTAGGGGCCAGGACTGTATGCTTCCCAGGCACAGTCATGCCTGGCACACAGTGTCCTGGGAATGGCAATGCTGATGGAAAAGCCCCAGCTAAAGCCCTCAAGGATCAGAAGGTGGACAGGTGGGCACTGGAGCTGCGGCTCACACAAAGAACAGCATCTCTTCAGCCTCAGACCTGCCTTGGCAGGGTCCTCTTTGATCTGTCGGGTTTTAAAGGTGACCTCATTGGGGGGACCCACAGAACAGAGAGGAGACACACAATCACGAGAAAGGATGACAGTGATTAAACTTTAAAAAAAAATTCCTTTAATGTTATGTATGATTTTTATAAATTGTTTAAAAGGGAAAAACTTATTCCTGAAGCTGCATCCAAGAGATTCCACTCTACTTAACCCCTGTACAGCTGTGAGCCCCCCATGGTCTAGGGGCTCCCTAGGTGTGATGGGAAACCTGTGGGAAGGTGGCCAT